AGGCTTTTCTGCTTTGGCAGCTATAAAATCAAAGTATCGTTCAAGGCCAAATATTGCTAAAGAAGTTAGAGTGGCCATTTCTGATATTACACCATGTTTAATAAACTTTGTTCTCAAAAGCAGGCCCATCCATCACACTGAACTTTGACATTTAAATGTTTTATTTTCTTTGCAGAAAAAAATTAAATACTTGTTAGTTAAATATCGTTTCATTTCAATACATATTTTGGTTAATTGCAAGTGTTAAAACTAACTTTATTGTAGGCCTAGTATTGTGATACTTTAATTTTGAGTAACAAAACTGCTAAATATTATGTAGAAAAACACAAAATAAACTGAATGAAACAGCAAACATACCATGACTTCTATTTTGATAAAAAAAACACGCTGGGGGCCTGAGAGTATTTTCTCTTCTCAGGAGGGGGCTCAGAGGTAAAAAGTTTGAGAACCACTGGTCTAAGGCATGAAATGTCTTTGCCTGCTCGAATGCTGGGATTGTGGGTTTGAATCCCACTCAAGGCATGGACGATGTCTGTATTTATTCTGTTTGTGCTGTCCTGTGTAGGTACTGGCCTTGCCACAGAGTCCTACTGACTGACTAAGATTAAGAAACTGAAGTGAAACAGCATTTCATTGATGCCCTGTTCTCCATGTGGGACCAACAGGAATAAAGACAGACGATAGATACACTTGTTTATACCACACAACTATCATAAAGTAAATGATAAAGTGTGTCATATCCACAAAGATGTCCCATCACCGGGGCCTTCCCCACCTACCATGCAGCTATAGGTGGCCCCATAATTTCAGGTCCCCTGCAACCAAGGGTCTTAAAATACTTCAAACTATGCTGTTAAAATTATGTGTACATATATGTAGAATTCCCTCCACCACATGATTTATTTCACAGTTCAAACATCAGCTGAGCATGATATTCTACAGGTGAACACACCTTCACCAGCCATCAGTCTCAGATATCTTGTTGGAAGTCAAGAGATCAAAACAAAAGAAAGAAAAAATAATAATAATCATTGATGACAAAGAGACTGCAGAGTTTGAATAGTGCCTCTGATCCACGGCAATGGATTTCACTAACAGAAAATATTTCCTGCTTTGAAATAATTCTGTGACTTCCCTCATGAAGCAAAAAATTAGTTTTGTACAGAAAGGCTCAAAAGTTTTCATGTAACAATAGATTTCAGATAATCTGATTGGTCACGTGTGTAAGTCCAAATCCCACTTCTGACACCAGTTGTCATGTATTTAGACACTGATCCCACTTCTGACACCAGTGTAACGTGTTTCGTTACTGCATACGCCGTAGAGATCATTTTTGGTTTATTGAACAACCTACAAGTAACGACTACAATTATTTATAACAATGTTACGGGTTTCCACACTTAGTCCAATCATATTTGTGTGCAAGAATGAGACATTAGCCTGTTCAACACAGGTCTGATACCCATGTTACTTGACCTGCTCATGAAAACTTCACAAGATTCATACAAGACAATTACTTACAAAAACTGAAGAACAATGAAAGAGTAGAATGTTGCTGCTTAATTCACTCACAAAAGCTGGTGTATTAACTAATATGTTACTGCCACAAGCTTTGCAGTCTGTCTCAATACCAAAAAGTCTATGAACAGGTTATATTCATGGCAGTACAGCCACAACATTTTCACTTTCACTTTATTTTAAATTCCCTAGATCCTTTCAGGTCACACATGTCATAGGATATAGAAGATGTCAAAATACATACACACATACATAAAAACAATGGACCCATCAACATGCAATACAGTCACAGTACAAAATTTGTACATAAAATATTCAAATATGATGAAATTTATGTTGATATATGATTATCGTTGTCACAATCTAAAATTAATACAAAATACCTATTCATAATATAGAAGTTTGATGTAATTCTCTCCATCACATAACTACAAATACTTAATTTAACAGTCCAAATATAATACATTTCATCAGGAATTAAAAATTTGAATATATAATAAAAATTCAGTATATACAATCAGTCATTTCATAGCAAGATCCTTAAAATCTGTAAATTATTAATTAACATATTCCTCTACAGGATAAAAGGAAATGAGCCATAAGTAAACCATTCACGACCATCTTAATTGTTTACTGTTATGTGTTATTTAAAACAGATGGTCCATTACACCACCATACTTCCATAAAATTTAAACCTTTAAATGCCCAGCGACTAGACAGTGGGTAATACATCATGTGGAAAATCAACCTAACAAACAATTCAAGAGAATATCTGGATTACAAACCTTTGTCTTCTTTATATCGAAAGTATTCGTTTACAGAGTAAAAAGAATGACATAAAAAGCTCTTTAATGTAAATTTAAAGCTTTTCTCATCATTGACCAAAATCTTTATTGATCGTGGAATATGACTGAACACTTTTAATACCTGTTATATAGGCTTCTTTATCAAATTTTGAAGTATTCACAATGGGTACATTTTATTACCTTAGGATCTAGTTGTATATTCATGAATCTCATTATTGAAGTTAAATAAATGTTTATTATTAATTATGTATAAAAGTAATGAGAATATATACTGTGAATATAACATCATAATTTCCACTTTCTTGAAAATATCCCTGCATGAATCTCTAGGTTTAGTGTTTGTTATGATTCTAATAATTTTCTTTTGCATGATAAACGCTTTCCTGGCATGAGAGGAACCACCCCAGAAGATTCTACAATAACTCATGATGGAGTGTACGTAAGCAAAGTAGATTGGCCTTAACGTTGCAAATGATACAATATGTTTTATATTTCGCAAAGGATAATCTATTGATCACTAGGTCAATATGCTGTTTCCAAGATAATACATCATCAATAATTATTGATGATGTATTATCTTGGAAACAGCATAGTATCTCCAGTGTAACAGAAACTAAGTTCCATGGTTTGATTATAATCAAACCATGGAACTTAGTTTCTGTTACACTGGAGATACTTTCCTGATCATAATTAATTTGTGTCGTTGTGTTACAAGAATTCATGGACCAAAACTCTAAATATTGACTTTTATTAAAATTTAAGGTAAGTAAATTAACATTAAACCAAGCGTTTATATCTTTGAAGGTCTGGTTAAGATTTGTTTCAAAGTTTACATTATTAGTAACAGTAATTATGATACTGGTGTCATCAGCATATAGAACTATGTTATTATCCTTATTTATTATTTTAGGTAAATCATTTATATACTCAAAAGAGTAGCTCCATCCATATGAACAGCATGGAAAAGTGGAGAGTGCTATAAATTTGTCTAAAGGTTAAATCTGCAACAGATAATGAGCTCTGTCTTCTAGGATATAACATCCTGTAGTTTCAAGTCAATCAACGTTTCAGAGAAACATGTCAACACCACCTTCAGGGTCAAAGAATAGACCAAGCAAGAAACCAGGTAGCAAGCAAAGCAATCAGTTTGCTGACATTCTGGTTTATAAAGGAAAGAGGATGGAAACACAATGCAACAAGTCAGTTCCCGCTGCCTTGCCAAAAGGCAGAATGACCCAACAAGAGTGCAAAAACAGAAAGTTCCTAATGGCTCTCCTATAAGACTGATATCAACCAACAGGAGATGTCACCAGTATAACCATCATGGAACTCTTCATAACCACCATTATCAGAATCTCAAATAGTTTTCCTCAGACATTACAGTCCTACATAACATGAGTTTTCAAAAGACTTACTGCAACAGAAACTAACCTACCAATGAGGCATACTAACATTTTAGAAGGCTACCAAAACAGGATTTGCAGCTCTCTGTAACACAGTGACATGCTGTGACATACTGAAAATGTCTTATTTTTCTGGCAGATATCTTATTTTGCATGTCATATATGCCATATTTACTAACTAATAAGAAGAGCAGGACAGAGCTGAAAAATAGATCTAGAAGGATACCATTTATTTCATTTAACAATGTTTCCTCAACTGCATTAAAGTATACACATTTGTGAAGTAGGATTATTGTAAATGATAAAATTGGGAAAGACAGATGGATGGATAGGAAGGTAGATAGATACATACATACATAGACAGATGGGTAGATTACATGGATTCCACGAATCACAGTTACTCCAGCTGTGGAATGAGACATAGTACAAATAAACATAATAATTAGGCCATAGCAGAAAAAGCACAAGACACACGATGTATTTACATTTTACATATGAGAAATGTCTTACAATTAATCCACCACAGGTATTGTAATTCAACATATAATTATCAGGCTTCTATTCAATATGTAGTGTCTACAAATTAATCAACAGAACTGAAGGTGTGTGGCAAAACAGTAAGGGAGAAAAGAAGAAAACTGAGTTCCATTTTATTATATTATGAAAGCATTTGTCTTGTAGGACTGAGCAAAACCACAGAAATTGTCAGCCAGCCAACCTCATCATCACCAATCACACCTGACACCTTCCAAATATGAAACAGGGCTACCAAAACCTGAACTGTAACATCTGGTGAACATGGGTGGATAAGAGATGTTACAACTATGGTCTTCAGGAAGAAGTCTACTAGTGCACCAATTCACAAGGGCAATAAAAAGACTGCAGTAATTATTGTGGGATATCACTGCTATCTACTTCATACAAAATTTTATCCAGTATTCTTCTCTCCAAGTTAAGTCCCTACATAGATGAAATTACTGGGGAACATCAGTGTGGGTTTCAACATAACAGATCAAATACTGATCAGATCTTTTGCATTCATCAGATACTGGAGAAAAAATGGGAGTATAATTAGATAGTACATCAGCAACTCATAGACTTCAATAAAGCCTATGATTCAATTGGGAGGGAAATATTGTACAATATTCTCATTGAGTTTGGGTACACATGAAACTAGGTAGGCTGATTAAAATGTGTTAAAAGAAAATGTATGGTAAAATCCATATAGGTAAACATTTGTCTGATAAATTTCCTATCCAAAATGGTCTAAAACAAGGAGATGCTTTATCACGACTGCTTTTCAACTTTGCTTTAGAATATGCCATTAGGAAGCTCCAAGAATAACAGGTGGGACTGAGATTAAATGGCACACATCAGCTGCTGGTCTATGCTGACGATGTAAATCTACTGGGAGAAGACACAGATACCAGAAACCAAAACACAGAAACTTTAACTGATACTACTAAGGAGGTTGGTTCAGAAGTAAATACAGACAAAACTAGGTACATGTTGTCTCATCACCAGAATACAGGGCAAAATCATGACATAAAGATATGTGATATATCCTTTGAAAATGTGACATGCTTCATATAATTCGGAATGACAGTAACACATCAATATTTAATTAAGGAAGAAATTAAAAGGAGACTGAATTTGGGTAATGCTTGCTACCATTCAGTCCAGAACCTTTTGTCTTCTCATCCGTTGTCTAAAATCGTAAAAATCAGAATATACAAAACTATAATCTTGCCTGTGGTTCCGTACGGGTATCAAGCTTTGTCTCTTAGTTTAAGGGAGGAACACAGACTGAGGGTGTTTGAGAATATTTGGTCCAAAGAGGGATGAAGTGGCAGGAGGTTAGGGGAAACTGCACAATGAGGGGCTTCATAACTTCTACTCTTTGCCAAGTATGATAACAATGGCAAAGTGAAGTAGGATGAGATCGGTAGGCCATGTAGCATGTATGGGAGAGAAGAGGAATGCATATAGGATATTGATGGCAAAGCCAGAAGAAAAGAAACCATTATGTAGACCAAGTCATACGTGGGTGGGTAATGTTAAAATGGATCCCAGATAGGATGAGGTGGTATGGACTGGCTTGATATGGTTCAAAATAGGGACCAATGGAGGGCTCTTGTGAAAATGGTTAATAAACCTTGGGGTTCCATAAAATGCTGGGAAGTTCATGAGCAGCTGCACAACTGGCAGCTTCTCAAGAAGCGCTTAGTTCCATGAAGTTAATTTGTTGGTCTATTCATAAGAAATTACCTTGCTCTAATTATAGCTTCCTCCTAAAACTATAAATTAAAATTAATTAAATTATTCACAATATCTGCAGTAATGATAATAAATACATAGCTTGAAATGAAACACCAACACTAACCTCATATGGGTGGTTCCCAAGATGTAATTTTTGTCATTCATACTTCTTTTTTACTCAAGGTCAGTCTTGGATGTCACAGGTTGCGTATAACAGACGTAGTTCACATCAGTATTTGAAATTTAATGAATGAAGGTTTCCTGAAAGGACAAAATGGACTCCTAGCATGCAGAGAAATGTTAACAATGTTCTTCCCCATGAAACCAAATTTATTCTGAGTGCCAAAATACATTACCTAAATCTGTGTAGTTACTTAAATAAATGTGTCCAGTACTTTATTTGGTCTGTATGTGAATGGAAAATGTGTTTCCCAAGACCACTGAAAATTTAACATGCACGTTTGGATTCACTTTAAAATTTTAAAACTATCCAAATATAAGCAAAATTGTTCACTAGTACAGTTCTCAATTGGTGTAATTACATAAAAAATCACACGAGAAATAAGTAACAGTTAATCATGTTGTTAAACTGAAGATTTAAAATGTCGATGAAATATGCACTAAAATATGCCTAACAAATTTTAAGGTCTGCAATCATACTACCAAGTGTACGAAGATCTCTTAAATACGTTTTATTAAATATTGCTACTTGGTATATTCCTCCAAAACAAAGTTCCATTCTACTAGGTACAATTTATATTAAAAAAAACACACACACAAAATTAAAAAAAATATACTTCTATCATCATCATCAGTAATCTGTCAAGACGACAGGTCCACAGTCTCTTTCAAAACAATTCCTCCACTTAATGCGATCTAGAGCTTTCTCNCTGCATACAAACCTAAGCCCAAAATCGGCTTTATGGACATAATCGCTCTGTGGCAGTACCATTTTCCCGTAAACTAATTCCAATGTCAACCCGACTTCACACAGAAATGTGTCGCACCTTAGCACATAATATTGTCAGCAAAAAGTAGCTTTATTGTTTACTACTTAATTATAATCACACTCCATGGATACTGCACAACAGAAAATCTTGCATACCTAAATGGGTTTTATGAACATAAATCACTAATATTTCATTCCCCGTCTAATGGTAAATGGTAGGCCCTAGGAAATACGACGAAGTTACGTAATTCGAGCATGCTTCTTCCTAGTGATCTATTGAGATGATTTGAAACACACAACTTCAGCACCAACACTCCATTATAATGCCGTAATGAACTTATACAAATGACATTACCTACTTCAACGAGGATTTGAAATTACTACATTAACTTACATATAAACAATATATCTACTTACATTTATCTCTTACGCATTTTGAAAACTTCCTTCTCTTGTTTCCAACGTTAAATGAAAACCCAGGTTGGCCAACAATTTAACCGACAAATTTCTCTTCATCGTCTTTGGTCACAGTCGCTTTCCATGGATAATCAGTACACGCAATCACGGACGTTAACACGGAAGTATCACGAAAAAGACACATTTTGAATGGATGCTGCATGAAACATTTCTTTCAGATTCGACTAATAAGAATTCATTATTTTCTGTGCTGTATTCGAAAATCTAAAGATGAATAGGAAGATAGGGCCATTCTGATATTATGGGCTGTGTAGTCTCTTAGTGAATATGTCAGACTTCTAGGTCCTTACCCAGTCCTTGGGGTTGGAAACGATCGAAACGATGGTGTCATATACGATATGTTTACTTGGGGGTGATCAAAGAGGCCTCTCTGTTAATCAAATATTGCTTTTTAAAAATCAATTAATTTAGTTTTAACCAATTATTTTTACTATTTAATCACATGTATGATTCTTGTTCCAGTCAGTGTCTAGACTAGTCCAGTCTGGTTGATCAGTTTTGTGTGTGTGTGTATGTATATATATATATATAGTAAAAAAAAGTAAAGCTATCCGTGTACCAGGCCGTGAAGGCCCATAGGGTTGTGAGACGTTGAGGGTCCACATTATCTAGACAATCGGCTCAAAGGTTGTCAGCCTTACGCACTTTACTCCCCAGGAAAATTATTTAATTCCTGGTACTCATTTCTGCTAGAGGCTGAGTAAACCGCAGGGCTATGGTGCAGCTGGAAGGATTAGGTCAATTGAAAAAAATCCAGTGACCTCATCAGGACTTGAACCCACTATCTTCCAGCTTGTAGCATAGCCCCTCAACCAACTACCCTAATATAGATACGTATATATATATATATATGTGTAAACTTTTTTGAACCATATATATATANAGATTTCTTATACTTTTTCTTCTACCCTGAAGATGGAGGCGATACGTTCCTCCGAAACGTCGGTTAACACCACATATACACGGTGCCAAATCCCAGAAGACTGCTTTCTTCAATTGTTGCGATGATTGTAGAAGTTGTATATGTTGATTGTTTGTTGCATCTGTTTCACACTGAGGATTATCTTCCAGTTCACATAATTCTTGAACTGAATACCATTCAGAATGTGGGCCAGGACATTACTGTTTGCCAGTCAGCACTGCAATCATCTAGTGTTTCCACTGCAGATTTTCCCAATTTATGAAAAAACCAGCCCACCGGAATCCAGTCACCCATATTAAATCTCCACTCACAGCTTTCTTCCCTTAGATCTATTATATGAGCTAGGGTGACCTTAAACTATGTAGTAGAGGCAAAGCTATCTATGTGCTTAATAATCATGTGTTCATGGTGTGGTGATTTAGCTTTCATCATACAGCTGCACCATATGTGGTAGACACACCATAATAAAATGAAGAGATGTCTTGTGAACATAGAGAGGGTTAAGAGCTGATAGTTTCTTCGACCTATCAGAGATCTTGTGATGTACACAAAGATTCTGTACTGGGAAGAGCACAACAAAACATTAGTGATTTTCCTCTATCCATCCAACCGCTGTTTACTTGCTTCTGCCTAGCAACCGTTGTTTACTTGTCGTTGCTAAGCAATGACGCTTGCGTTGTCACACTTGCTTGAATGTGGGCAGTTCCCACATCAGGATAATAATACTACTTGGCTGCATGAAATTTAAATGGGGAAATATGTGAGTTACGTTAAGCTCTTCTGGTGAGTAAAGAACAGGTTTCTGCAGTGAGCACAAGGATTAGCATTCTTTCTTTCCTGTTGTCAGCTGTTGCACCACCAGCGCTGATACTTTTCATCAGCTAAAAGTTGAAGTAGTCGACTAGTACCTTAAATTAGAACATGATGGCTTCCATCCACAGTCATTCTATCAAATTATTCACTAACATCCAATCATTATATACCATACAGTAAACACTAATCCAACATGTAAGATAGGTGAATCGGTACTGGATGAACATAATATTGTGTGGAATTAATAGGGATTAGGAAATACCGTGGAAAGTCAAGTAAAAAAAAAAAAAAACAGAATTGTATATATAATATATATTTATAAACATTGTAATAAAATGAAGTTCATTGACCACCCATGCACTGAAGTAAAATATCACAGAAAAGTCTTAACTTAACTATGAAGAGGTGTGATAGTTCTTTTGTACAGTCGTTAACATCGTGAAGTTCTACACAAATTTTGGCTTTCTTGTGACTTCATTGTTATTTTTGTGGGAATAACAAAGAAGAAATCGAAGAGATCTGAACACATAAAGGTGACCATAAAATCTTGTGGTTGCTAGTGCACCTCGACACAATATATCAGTACAGGAAGAAAGGAAATGGACATTGCATACTATCATGGATTTTGTGGCTGGGTGGCAATTGGCCTGAACCCTGGGTGAAGTTGATGACGCAGAAGTTCTGGAGAAAATATAGCAATGACAGTGATCAATTTAATATTGTGTGGAATTAAGAGGGATATGGAAATGCTGTGGAAAGTCAAACAGAATTGTACATATATGATATATATTTAGAAGTAGTGTAATAAAATGAAATTTCATTGACTACCCAAGCACTGAAGTAAAATATCACAGCAAAGTCTAACTTATCAATGAAGAGAGTGTGACGGTTCTTTTTGTACAGTCGTGAAGCTTTCTTGTGACTTCATTGTTATTTTTGTGGGAATAACAACATAGAAGAAATTGAAAAGAAAAACTGAACACATAAAGGTGACCATAAAGAAAGAAGAAAGGAAACGTACATTGCATATAATCATGGATTTTGTGGCTGGGTGGCAGTTAGTCCGAACCCTGGGCCCCATATAGAGAAAAAAGCCTTGTCTGGATGTGCTAGACAGAAGTTAAAAAGGGCAAGAGCTGGGGAAGCAAAGCAGGAACTAGGGTCAGTCAGTAACCAGGAAATGCACGCTCGCCCAAGCAGGGAGAAACCCCTGTCGGTATCTTTAACCCTTTCGCGACAATCACCGTTTATATGCGGTGCGGCTGGTTTTTTAAATGTCGCCGATTGCCGCATATATGCGGCATCACACGCCCTCTAACTCTGACTTCGATTGAAAAATGTGTGTGTTTTCTACCGAAAATTGTATTATGTAGCATTGTACATGAAATGTAGCTGTAAGTTTTGACATAAATACATGTATGGTCTTTGAAGCCTATGTTTGCAAAAATGTCTATACAACCTGTCCAGAGGAAATATATTCAGGCTGTGTTTAGAGTCGTGATTATTGTTCCTACACACTTAGGTAGTTCCATTAGCTTGGTGAATACTAATGCGGCACTTAGATAAGCGCATAGCTTTGACTGCAGAATGAATGGGGCTTTGTTCTGAGCTAGTAAACAAATAAGAGTGTGTGCATATGCCAGTCCATAACAGTTCTGCTTTCCATGAACAGTGCGTGGGTTGCAAGTATCAGAAGGATGCAGTAAAATTGTCTGTTCCAGGTTTTAAAAATTTTTAAATCCCTGTACTAAAAGCATGGCATCTAGCAGCAAACGTCTGAAAGAAGAGAGTGTTTTGGACATTCTCAATGAGTCAGACGAGTTTCTGAGTAGTGACAGTGAAAACCTTGAAGATGATATTGCAGTTGTTGCTGGGGCTGTAGATGAAGAGGATAGCCAGGCGGAGGAGGAAAGTGGCAGTGACTTTATTTGGGAGGACATGGGAACATATCATGGGCAAGGGGAAATATTTTCTGGTCATTCCGGACCTCAAAACTCTGCAGTAAATGTTCAGGACATTTTGTCTGTGTTTTTGTTATTTTTTAGCAGGGACCAATGCATAACATTGTTGTGGAAACAAATCGATATGCAGAACAATTTATAAATGCTAGAGGGAGACTTTTCCCTTGTAGATCCCCTGTATGGGAATGGACTCCAGTTACAGACAATGAAATTTATGTTGTCCTTGGTTTGATCCTGCTAATGGGGATCATTCAAAAGCCTACTCTTTGGTCATATTTTTAAAAAACGAGTTATTTCAACCCCAGGCCTTGGTGATGTGATATCAAGGGACAGGTTGGAACTATGAGTAATAACGAAATTCTTACATTTTGCAGACAACACTAACATAGCAAATTATGAAGGCCCTCCAAAACTTGACAAAATATTTCCTGTTCTATCGCACCTGAACTACAAATTCCAGAACTTATTTTTTCCCGGGCCGAACATTTCAGTCGACGAATCTCTTACATTATGGAAGGGTCGCTTGTCTTTCGTGCAGTATTTATCGCTGAAAGCTACTAAATTTGGCATAAAGACTTATGAGTTATGTGATTCCAATTCTGGATATCTGTGGTCTTTCCTGGTATACACTGGTAAGATACACCTTTCCAATCATCCCTTGTAACACAGGAGAACAATAAAACAGCGGCCATTGTTCTGCATCTGTTGGAACCCTTACTCAAAAAAGGCCATATAGTTTGGCTGGATAATTTCTACAACTCCCCAGCTCTGGCTAGACTGTTGAAGCACAAGGGCACTGATTGTGTTGGGACTCTAAAATTAAACAGAAAGGGTGTACCCAAGGTAATCAAATATGCCAAACTGAAACAGGGAGAGATTATTGCCCAGCACTCTGTGCCAGTGACTTTTATGAAGTGGCGTGATAAAAGGAATGTTTTAATGATTTCTACTTATCACAACACTGAAATGAGAAGTGACTCGAAGAGAGGCAAAGAAAAACAGAAACCCCTGTGTGTAATTGATTATAAGTAGATGGGGGTGGGGGACTTGAAAGACCAGCTGTTGCAAACTTACCTAGTAGAAAGAAAATGTTTGCACAAATGGTATATGAAACTTTTCAGAAGACTTCTGAATGTGACAGTCGTGAATGCCATGATAATATACAGACACAACACAGGAACGAAAATGGATCACCTCACATTTAGAGTCAGTTTGGTGCAGGTGCTTTTTGAACAGTTTGCTGATATGGAGCGGAAAGTGCGAAGTGGCTGGGCGGAACAAAATGTCATACTGAGGTTACATGAAAGACATTTCATTCAAAGGGTTGCTCTTTCTGGGAAGAAATGAACGCCACGGAGAAGGTGCGTAGTATGCAGCAAACATGGACGGAGGAGTGACTTGAGGTTTCACTGTCAAGAATGTGATGTCGGGCTCTGTGTGGATGGATGTTTTGAAGCCTATCACACACAACTTAATTTCTAAGGTAATCTGCATGATTAATTAAAAGTAGAGTATTTAATAGCAAAGTTATGTTTTATACAGAGCACAGTGTTCGTTTCTGGTTTTAAATTCTGTATTTCTAATTTTTACACCGTTTTTAAAAAAATAATTGTGATCTTCAGATGAAAACATTGAAATATCGCCGTGCTGTTTATAAAATCTAAAACGATATTCTTTTCTGAATATGATGATAATTTTTCGCTTTGAAATTCCAATTTTCTTTGCTTTTACAGCGAATTTATAAAAGTTGTGCATTTCTGGTAAGAAAATTTAAATATTCTCTGTCCACCCAGTAAGGTTTACTTTAAATGCCGTTCATCGCATAATGGTTAAGAGGCCAAGGTCAGAAGGCAGTACCCACAGGGGCTGTGGAAGAATGAATGGAGGAAGACACCTTTCCCAGCATTACAGAATGAATACATAACACACAACATACAATTCATTCAGATTAACCTACACCACAGCAAGGCTGCTATGGCAATTTTATGTAGACAACTTGCTGAGGCAAAAGTAGATGTAGCACTTATTCAGGATATATAGGGGCCAAATAAGAGGATTAACGTATTCAGGGGAAACAGTTTATTCTGTTGTACCTGGAGAAAATGTGAGATCATGCATATATGTTAATAATCACATTAATGCTTTACCCTTGCTGGAGTACTGTTCCAGAGACACAGCAACGGTGAGGATGACATACACATTGGGCAGAGGCTGTGAGGAGCTCATCGTCACTTTAGACTACCTTCAGTATGACTAGGATGAACCACCACCTTCCAAAGAAGTGAGGGACATTGTTGAATATTACCATCTTAGGAAAAAGCAGATAATTGGGTGTGACGCCAACACGCACCATGCTTTTATGGGGGAGCACTGACATCAACCCAAGAGGAGAATGACTCATGGAATATTTGGTGAGTTCGAACCTTAATATTCTAAATGAAGGTAATGTGCCTACCTTTATGATTTGCAATAGGCAGGAGGTTATTGCCTTGACACTAGGGACCAATAAAATATGAAACCTGATAAGTAATTGGCATGTATCTGATGAGTCGTCCTTATCGGATCACAGATATATATGCTTTTAAATAAGCAACATTACAGTAGATCAAGCTACTTATAGGAATCCTAAGAGAACCAATTGGGAGTCTTACAAAGACGACCCAAAGGTAAATCTGGAGACCATCTCGTGAAATATACGCACAATAAAGGATGTTGATTGGTCTGTTACCAGTTGCAATAGGCTATTATCTCGTCCTTTTATTGGAATTGTCCAGCTAGGACCACTCGCAAATCAAGGAGAACGCACTGGTGGAGTAACAGCTGAGTGGGCTTAGAACCAAAATGAGAAGGCTGTTTAATACAGCTAAAGGAACAGGGCAATGGGACACCTACAAGGAAGCCCTTACCTGTTACAACAAAGAAATAAGGAAAGCCAAGCGATCTTCATGGAGGAGACANTAATATTCTAAATGAAGGTAATGTGCCTACCTTTATGATTTGCAATAGGCAGGAGGTTATTGCCTTGACACTAGGGACCAATAAAATATGAAACCTGATAAGTAATTGGCATGTATCTGATGAGTCGTCCTTATCGGATCACAGATATATATGCTTTTAAATAAGCAACATTACAGTAGATCAAGCTACTTATAGGAATCCTAAGAGAACCAATTGGGAGTCTTACAAAGACGACCCAAAGGTAAATCTGGAGACCATCTCGTGAAATATACGCACAATAAAGGATGTTGATTGGTCTGTTACCAGTTGCAATAGGCTATTATCTCGTCCTTTTATTGGAATTGTCCAGCTAGGACCACTCGCAAATCAAGGAGAACGCACTGGTGGAGTAACAGCTGAGTGGGCTTAGAACCAAAATGAGAAGGCTGTTTAATACAGCTAAAGGAACAGGGCAATGGGACACCTACAAGGAAGCCCTTACCTGTTACAACAAAGAAATAAGGAAAGCCAAGCGATCTTCATGGAGGAGACATTGAGAGGAGATCAATGCTGTACGAGGCGGTGCCAGACTCATGAGGATCACGGCAAAACAGGCGACCAATAAGATCAGCACGATTAAGCTGCCTAATGGACAGTATACTCAAACAGGAAGGGAGACACTGAATGAATTATTTAGGGTTCACTTTCCTGATTAAAAATTTATTGATAATTTGGACAGACAGGGTCATCAGAACCTGGGCACTTGCCAAAGCAGGATGAACAAGGCAAACCGGAACCTGGCCAAAGTCATAATTCACTAATCAAAAATCAGATGGACACTGAATACCTTTAGACCCTTTAAGTCAGGGGGAACAGATGGAATTGTACCGGCGCACTTTTGCAGCATGGGGTGGAACTCTTAGTTCCATACCTATGCTGCATATATAGAGCCTGCATGGCATACGGTTTTAACTCCATGGCCTGGAGGAAAATTAAGGAGACGTTTATCCCAAAGCCTGGGAAACTTGATTACACAGAGGCTAAGGCTTATCATCCTATTAGTCTGTCGACTTTCCTTTTGAAAACAATGGAGAAAATAGTGGATAGGCATATCAGGGACAGGGCGTTGAGGACATATCCTCTACACCGAAACCAGTGTTGTGCCCCAGGTTATTAATGGATCGATTTTGTGTTTAACTTATTAGAAAATAATTATAAGTTTTATAAATTGAAATGCATCGGGTCAACCACAAGTTGGAAACCCGCCGGAAGCCAGAGTTGCGACGTCATACATTTTTTAGCCATCCGGTGTCAGTTGCACAGTCTATAGAAATTGCCGACAAATTAAGTGATGACAAGTTAGGCAGTTAGGAAGGATTTTCTAAATTTTGACACACACCAGATGAACTCAAAATTGGTCTGGGATTGCCACCAAACCCTCATGGAACTGGCCAAACACAACAGGGTACAACTGATATGGATGCTGGGGCATGAGGGTATTGATGGAAACGAAACAGCAGATCAATTGGCTAGGATTGGAGCTGAACATCTGTTCATAGGACCTGAACCAGCCTGTGGCATCTCTATAGGAGTTGCCAGAAATGCAATCAGGGATTTGACAAATATGAAGCACAAGAAATACTGGGGATCCTTAACTGGACTCAGGCAAGCAAAGAGACTCATACGAGGACCCTCTGCTAAAAGAGTGAAGGAACTGTTGAAGTTAAACAGGAACCAGCTATGATGGGTGGTGGGACTACTTATAGGACACTGTCACCTTAAAGGACACCTTTTCAAACTGGGACTAAGTGATAGTCCCACTTGTGAGAGGTGTCAAGAAGAAAATGAAACAGCCACACATATCCTGTGTGAATGTGAGGCCTTAGCTTATTTAAGATTATGTCACTTGGGCCAATACTGTAGGAACCAAGTCACTATTTCGACGCCCCCACATACAAAATCCTATGCTCCATTTGAAGCGTAGGATTGCTGAGGGGATAATCAAAAGGGGAAGCACAATAGATCACTTTAGGTTGCGGTGCAAGGGCCGAGAAGACCCACCCCTTATACATTCATTCACTCATTCAACTTATCAATGAAATGATAAGTATTACACAAAATATTACCACAGAGTGAGGCATCAAACAAACTTCATATGCTATTACAGTGTGCCTGGCAGGCCATGTTCACAAGTAGTTCCTAATTTGTACATCCTGGTGTTTTAAATTTAAATACTTAGCTAGAACACATATAAAAAATATAAAGTTCTTTAATTATTTCTGCTTCTCATGGTGGACAGATGAAAGGCAGTTTCTGTTATGTATCAATAATAATTTCTGTAATGTATTATTGGTTCCCCTGCAAAAGAAAACAAAATCATGAGTGACAGCATTTGAAAGGCTTCAGAAGAATTAATTCAGAGTACTTCCTTATTATTTGTTTAATTTATTGTGATAACTATGTACTTAACGTATGCGAAGTTATATCAATATGTGTGTGTATGAGACAGCGTAGGAGACAATGAAATTGTGTTACTTAACCCTTCAAAGCACAATTGTTGCTATATGTATTGCTCTCGTTTAGTATCAAGAAACTCAGCATTTGGCTTATACAAAGTATTCGTGTTTCATATTGTTCTAATGGTAAAGAGAAAATATTTCCATAAACAGTATTAAATAATTGGTCTTTGTAATGGAGAGGCAAAGTGTTTTCTGTGAAGTAGGAACTTAATTTCTGTATACCATTTAGCTGAATTTTAGGCTTCCATCACACAAAGACCTAAGTGACATTATTTGTATCTTCTCACTGACAAGAAAACCATGGGAAGCTATTCATGTTGTACCCAGCAGATGGCTCATGACAGTTGTACTGACAATTTCAGCTAGTCTGCAAACAACTCCTGCTTTCTTGCTGTCATGTTTTCAAAGGTTAATGGGGATATCATGCTACTAACTGGAGTATGACCTAGAATGAAATTGGGATACAACTGATCTAATCTGGTTGGCCAGAGGGAAAGTACATCATAATACAAGTTTGTAACCTTCCTGCATAAAGAAACACAGAAAACAATACATATACATCATTACTAACAATTTATATCAATATACATGATAAAATTCTTATGTCAGACCTTTTTAATCAAAGACAGATGTAGGGCCATAATATAGTTGAAATTTATATCCATGTAAATATGCTACACTTCAGTGAAATGCCTTCAGAGTGAATTTCAATTGATCTGAAAAATATACGTATCATAAGGAAGGTTTAATACAATGAATACTCATGGAAATGGAAACAGTATCTCAAGATATAAGTATACTGTTACAAATTCAAAACTGTGTTTAATTTATAGATTCTTAAGTACTGTGGTATCATAGGTGGTTGAGGTACTCTGCTACAAGCCAGAAGGTTGGGGGTTCAAGTCCTGATGAGGTCATTGGATTTTTTCAATTGACCTAATTCTTCAGGTTGCACTATGCCCTTAGGGTCGACTCAGCCTCTAACAGAAATGAGTACCAGGAATTAATTAAATAATCTTCCTGGGGAGTGAAGCACGGTCGGCACGTAAGGCTGACAACCTTACTGCCAGTGAAGTGGAGAAGATGAGAGAGGGAACAGAAATTACAGCCTTCTCTAGGTACTATCCCAGCATGCATCTGGAAAGACTGAGCTGACATCTCTATCTTGTTCATTCATACACATAATCATCAAGATTAGAAAGTGTGTATCCACAATGTAGTATGTAATATTCCCAATATTCCCTTTGCAGATGAAGTTTACTTGTGACCAGTTTATAAATGGCATTTCAGCAAAAAAACAAAAATATATTTGATTAAATTAATATTTCAATAACATAACAATGCAAAATAATATATTACAACACCACCACAACCTGTGAAATGGTGTAGGGGATTCATGGAAAGCCTATTTATGGCCTCGTGTAAACCAGACCTTTTATTTCATCAATATGGCAAGAACCACAGTGGTCAGGTAATGTGTCATACTTAGATCTCTCGTACCAAATCTCCCCAAACTGGTTACCAGTTTATGTGATTTCATTATGGTTTATTTTACAGTGCTGTCAGTATCTATGCTATACAGGGTGTTTCACGACCTTAGGGCATAATTGCAAGAGGTGATTCCCTAGGTCTTTGTGATAAAAAAAGTTATGTTATGGACTGTTATGGAGTTATGACCATGTTAAACTCAGAATAGAAGGTAATGATTACTGACAATAAACGGAAGAAAATAATAAACCAGCATAATACATGATACATTTAAAGTATGAATGTAAAGTTAACTTTGTTAAATTACCTTTAATTTGAATTTATTGGTGCTTAAAGCTGATTTTCGAAAATGTCACTGCCAGTCGCAACGCAGGCTCCCGCTTGGTTGTGAACCGAACATACCATACCATACCATACAAACATACCAACCCACCCCGCTCTCAAGTGTTGAGATAACGAGAATGCTCTCTCTGTAGCTGGCTAAAAATAGTGACCTGCTGGCTGACAGACGCGGTTCATACGAGGGCGTGTACGGGAATGAAAAAAATGATCATAACTCTGTAACTGTCCAAAATCAGACACATGTTTATATGAACTTTTTTGATCACAAAAACCTAGGAAATCACCCCATGCAGTTATGCCCTAAAGTCGTGAAACACCCTGCATAGCAAGGAGTGGCAGGACGATAAGTGACTACACTTGCGGAAAACCGCAAAAATATTCAGCTGAGATAGCCAATGGCTTGGCTGGGATTTGAACTGAGCACTCCTGAATACAAGTCTAAAGTGTCACCACTATACATAACTCTGGTTTATGATATACATAAAATATTCCTTTATGGTTTTCAGAAAGCAGACTTTTTAATCAGTGAATATAACTAAAAATTAAAAACAGCTGACTAATATTATGAACATCTCTCATATAAAACACCTGATTAATGGGTCATAATATACATGAAAAAGTTCATTTATAACCCCATGTAATGTAAGCTTTGTTATGGATGAACATGGCTGCAAATCAGAAATTTCTGAGTCTTATATGTAAAATTTTAAAACAATATGTCCAACAAACAGGAACTGACAATAGGTTGGATGGACAAACATTACATCCACATTAGGGGTTCCTTTTTACTTTGCAAAGAACAATTGTAATACATACACACCTGTTAGTGATGAGATGAATCCATCCATAATTGAACCAATTGGTGTGCTTATGTAGATGAGCCCTGCCAAAATCCCAGCAAAATGGCCAATGAAAGAAGTATTTGGAACAAGCAAATGGATAAGTATCAATTCAAACCAAGCAGCATAGCGTGTAGGAACCCACAGAAAGCCTATAAATTCTCTGCCTGGTGGAGTTTCATAGCTTGTTAGCACCTTCAGTGCAAATATAACTCCTGCAGAAAAGAAAATAGCAAATATATTGTCATGTATTTATGGCTCAGTGACTAATAATAACGGGTTTTGGATTGGATTTATTAACATCTTTCACAGTCTCTCTTAATCACATCCGATTACAACAGCTCACAATAAATGACTGCCTAAGACTGTCATCTCTTCTAGTCTGTCTTCTATTGTTCACTCCTGGTTTCTTTATTCTACTGTGACTGACTTGGTTTTTATCTAACAGCCACTTATATAGCATATCAGTATCATAGGAAATGTTTGTCGAATGTTCATATCCACGGAAACACCTGTTGATTCCACAGCAACGAGCTGGTTTCCAAGAATCTACAACTATCATTTTTGTACCCCAGGAAATGTGGTCGTCAACTCATTTCCTAGAAATTGGTCTGCATGTCACAATATTATACAAGATATGAGTTTCAACGTTTGTATCTCCATTTAAAGATTCACATACATGGTCCCACTGGTCTGTTAGTTACCAAACCAAAAGCTAAATATAAATTCCATGCAACCACTGTGTTGTTCTACGTTCTAAAACATTGTGATGTGTTGCCTAAAAGCTGGACTATGGAACATCCATCACGGACCAAATGGGAAGGAGAACACACATTTCAGTGTCCGTTGCTGGTCAGCACACACCAGTTGTCATGTGTTTCCTAGACAATGCGACAATAATTCACGTGGGTTTCTGGATTTGAGTGAATATTTATTGGACACACTCTAACAGTCACACGTACAATTATAAACATCCTCTTCTTCTTCTTCGCTATCACAATTCTTCTTGCATTGTTGATCTCAGTGAAGTGTCTTTTGATCTGCTCGGTGACTGCTAGAACTCAACTCAACTGTTCTTGGCAACTGCTAGAATTCCACTGTCCTCTCTGGTACATTTGACCCATTTAAATAGGCCTTTTGCGGACCGCCTATGGAACACCTTTCTCAACAGTTTGGTTTTCCCGTTGTCATACAACTCTTCGAACAATTTGTTGTAGTCATTGAAATACACCATTAGAATTCCAATATTGCATTAAATTCTGTTGTCTAGGAAATTTTATCCGTTGACCAGCAACAAACGCTGAAATATGCGTTCTCCTTCCCATTTGCGCCATGATGGATGTTCCATAGGCATCATGTCACAATATCTATCTTTTAAGATTACATAATCCTACCATGGGCACAATCAGAATTTTTCTGGAGGGTTGGAGGACAGCCAGTTTTCCAAGACAGGGCAGGCAGAATCTTTGCACACAAACTTTGTGTAAGTCATTTATGACTATTTTTACTGATAATCCTGGAGTATTCAAACTGCATATTCATGATTAATGTAGTTTTAATATTTATTATTATATATTTCTCCTTTTCTAGAATTCCAGGGAAGGGCAGTTGCCTGGCTTTCCCCCCTGCCAGTAATCGTGGACCCTACATCACATAGCATCAGTGTCACTCCCACCTTATAACTTTGTACACTACATTGGTGGTATTATGGTCTAAATAAATATAAAGATGGCCTCTAATGGCACGATGTTCAGTTTCATGAAAATCTATCACCTGTTTCAGTTATTAAGACGAGCGGGCAAAGATGGATGCATGAATATAATGTATCATATGCCTTTCATTATAAAATAAGGAAAGTATGCAATAAACTGTTGAAAACAATGGAAAAGTTAATCATACTGTAACCATGATTCTGATTTAATTACACAACAAACCTTCCAACTGTAAGAAAAATCAGAATTACTGGGTTTTTGGACATCATCCAGTATTCTAAAAACTACAGAACTGTGCTTTGGAAACTGGATCTGTTTCAATCCTCAGGTGAGGAGGAGATGCATACTCTGTTGGGTCCCTTAAAAAGAGATAACCTCCATCACTAGCCCCACACCTGAGGATGGAAACAGATCCAGTTTATGACGTGTCTGAGTTCTAGTTTTCAGAATGCCGGATGATGGACAAAGTCCAAAACTCCAGTAATTCTGAGTGTTATATACCACTGTCAGAATCCTTCAGAATATACTTGTAAGAAAAGTACCTGGTTACCTGAAAATCCAATTGCACATGATCTCATGTAATATGAATTGTGCAGAACTTCGGTCAACGTGTAACCAAGGCCAACATAGATCACACTAGTTAAAACTGATATCATGAGGAGGAGAAAGCCAAAATTTGTACTTCCATAGCGGCGTTCCAGTGACCGGCCTTTCACCATGAAAGAAATCATATTGTAGTAGAGATGCATATCATCTCCATGTTCAAAAGTTGAGAAAAATAGACGCTTGTAGTCACGATGTTTTAAGATAGTCTCTGCACTGATACAAATTTCCCACTTTTCCCATGGGACCTGTATAATCCCCAAATATAACAGGACCTAGAAATAAAAACAAGTTACATGCATATTGAGCCATACATTAATGACAGAAAATTCCTAACCGACTGTACTCACAAACATTAACTTTGGAAGAATCCGAATGTTTTCGCAGATGAATATTTCAAATGGATAGAATAACCTTATCATACACATAAGTGGAAATGTGTGTAGACATAGTTAGACACCATCTACCTAGTTCCAGAGCCATTTTTTAAGCTACTTCCAGTGTCTGAAGCCATTCTCAACATTGAGACATGCAGAAATGAATCTCTTATAATTATTTGCCAGACTGCATTCTAATAATTACCTTTATAATAAGGCTTCATCACCTCCCAGGCTTTTCAACTGATGCTGGAGTACTTACCTAGATACAAAAATCCATTCCTGACCATATGCTTCAAATATATTGTCACTGATCTCACAAAAAATCATTTTAAGCCCTGATGTTTTCAGATTTTTAAGATGATTCACTGTTAAATTTGTTTACAAACACTGTGCTACCATTACCTTACAAATAAAACTGCATACATTTCTTTCACATTTATATTCCGTAAATTTCAATTTCACCTCGTTGGTGTCTCCACCTTATCGTGGTGAGGGGGTTTGAGTATGCCAAGGACCCTGAGAGCTATACCAGCGGTATCGTAGCTACTGGCAGGGCCTCAATTGCTGGACAGGTCAAAGGGTAGGCATCAGACGAAGAGAGACACCAAAAACTGATGCCGGAAGCAGCGTCATCAGCAGCGACTTGAAGCACAGAGCAAATGATGCTCGAGATGGTTCAAGTTCGTATAGCAACAGGCGTGACCAGAGTGGTTTGAACGGCAGTTGTACTGCGATGTGGAAAGCAAATGGAAAAACTACCACATTATCACTTTTCCTGGATAGTCTCTTTCCAAAAACAGAAGATCGCATTAAGTGGAGGAACTGTTTTGGAAGAGACTGTGGACCTGTCGTCTGACAGATTACTGATGAATGAATGAAATTTCAATTTACATACAAGATACAAACTGAAAAATGGTAAGATGATTTAGAATTTCATCTTGCCACTATTTTGAACAAAATTCTCTTTTTGAATAGAGTATGCAACATCAAACAAAATAAGACAATGATTATGTAAAGTGAACTGAAACAAGTGTGGGTTATTACAAGAAGCAATCTCAGTATTTTCATAAAAGGATTAAGGAAAACCATGAAACATTAAGTTAGACACTATCTTGATTGGGACTTTGTCTGAACCTCCAAAATACAAGTGAGACATGTGACCACTGATTTAATCTGCCTTGTGAGCAGTTTAGTTACAGAAATCTTAATTAATTTAGATTAAATTCAAAAGTACCAATATGCCTAACATACATATTAAATGCAGTCCAGCAGTCTTGGAAATTCATAGACAAAATGCAGAAACATTAAATTCAATAAATATCTTTCACAAAAATATCAGAGGTTTGAGAAGCAAAAGTGATGAATTACTACACTCTTTTGAAATAGACAACATAAACCCTCACATATTGTGTTTAAGTGAACATCACATGGTTGAACAGGAATTGCTGCTCCTGTCAATGAATGGTTACCTGTTGGGCTGAAGTTTTGCTGAAAGAGCCTACAGGGGTGAGGAGTGTGTTTTTGTTAAGACAGATCTACATTTCAGTAAAATTGATATTTCTCATCACTGTAAGGAGCAAGACTTTGAAATCTGTGCAATACAGCCAGTAACTAAAACATCTGACCTAATTATATTAAGCCTGTACAGAGCACCTTTAGAAGAGGTTAATGAATTTCTAAGGAGACTAAATGCAACTTTAAAATGCCTGTACAATCCAAAGTCTGAGTTTATAATCTGTGGAGACATAAACATAAACTATTTAAATGAAAGCAGTCACAAAAAACAAGTAAACTCTTTAATAAGGACATACAATCTGTCACACACAGTGAATTTCACAACAAGAGTTAAAAATTCCTTAAGCACAGCCATTGATAATATCTTTGTAGATAATGCAAGGTTAAGTTATTCTTGTACATCTCCTATAGTCAACGGCCTCTCTGACGATGATGCTCAACTTCTTACAGTAAATAATATTATTGCGGAAGTAAATTCAACACCCTTGAAACAGAGAACCACAAAAATAAATAGTGAAACCACTGCTCAATTACAACATCTATTAGAATATGATAAATGGATAACGAAAGGCATAACAATATCTTGTAAGTATAAGAGAGCATTACATACATACATACATATATATAGCATTCCATAGATCCTTATGTTAGTCAGAAAGACCATAGGATGTGGAATTAGTCAAAAAATCATACAATACATGAAAGTAGGAAGAATACTCCGACAGAAGAAGATAGGTGTGACTCGCGTACTGAGATACGACATAAGGATGACAAATCCTGAACAGTTTTAACATTCAAAATTTAGCAATATATATGACGAATATATATTTTAGTTATTTTAGTATAAAGACAACAGGGCATGCGATGCAGTAGTTCGACGTACATCAAAAAGCACCTGAAGATGGCACTTTAGTGCCGATACATGTAGTGCAAGAGAGAAGAGTAAGGTGAATAAATGTATGCACTGTAAGATGGTCAGAATAAATCATGGACATAAATCAGTGCAACAGGATGCTAAAATATAACATTATTAATCTAATTTCATCTGCTCAGTGTGGATTTAGAGAAAATAGACGTACGGAAACTACAATCTATGCCCTAACTAATCATATATTAGAAACTTTGGAACAACGCCGTCATTCATTAGGAATTTTCTGTGATTTGACAAAGGCTTCTGATTGCGTGGTTCGTGATATCCTTTTGAGCAAGTTGGCAGCATATGGACTTGGTGGTGAAACTTTAACATGGTTGAAGTCATATTTGGGAAATAGAAGGCAAAGGGTGGAATTGTATACTAATGGGAATGAAAAATGTTGTTCAGGATGGGAGATTGTTGAATATGGAGTGCCGCAGGGCTTGATTTTGGGTCCTTTGCTGTTTCTTTTATATATCAATGACCTATCATCAGCATTAAATACTAATAATAAGTTATTGTTGTATGCAGACAATACAAGCATAGTAGTGTCTGGTATTGATATTGATGAAATCCAAGTAAGGTCTAACATTGTGTTGAATTCTTTAAGCCATTGGTTTGCATGTAATGGCCTGTCTCTAAATCTGAAAAAACTAAAGTGTTAAAATTTGATACAATTAATCGAGATAATATGTCTATACATTTAAAGTTTAATGATGAGATATTGCATGAGGAAACCCACATTAAATTCTTGGGCACTGAAACTGATAAGACCCTGATTGGGCAAGGCAAACTTTGCAATAAGAAACATGAAATTGTATAGCAATATTGAAACACTAAGGATGATTTACCACGCATACTTTCATTCAATTATGAGATATGGTATAGTATTTTGGGGAAACTCGTTGGAGGCTAAGAAGATTTTTCTTTTACAAAAGAAGGCCTTCGGGACAATGATGGGAATGAAACCCAGAGAATCATGTGGAACAGTTTTTAAAAAATTAAAAATTCTGACATTGGCCTCTCAATATATTTTATCTTTAATGATACTAATGATAAACAATTTGGGGCATTATACTTTTAATCATACAATTCATGGTAAATCAACAAGACAAGTTAGAAACCTACATGTGCCTCAATCACATCTAACAAAGAGGCAAAAAGGGGTCTATTGCATGAGTGTAAAAGTTTTTAATAGTTTGCCTGATTTTTTAATTGAGTTAGTACATAATAAAAAACAGTTTATTGGGAAATTAAAGGATGTATTGCTTCAAAACCCTTCTTATACTGTTGAGGAATTCTTGCTTTTCTGTCAAGACCTACAGCTAAGGAAAAGATGTGTCTGACAGTGCAAACTTCACTAAACACTATGTCCTTGGCTGTGCTTATATATACTTGCTGCAATTTGTATTGCCTTTTAACTATTGTATGTGTTTTTGACAAGTATGGATTATATATGCTACTGATTTTATTTGTGAATGTGTAAGTGTCCAATGTTTTGTTTGCTTGTTGACATGTTTTATATTCGGTGTCGGTGGCACATTTATGAATATTTTAAAGAAACGCAAATGTATTGGTACGTATGTATGTATGCGACCGCCAGCGACTAACCGCTTGAGCTAGGGCGCGGACTATTCGTACCCTAATAACGGTCGAGCTTACCTGCCCTACTATTGTGCACAACGTGACTGTAGGAATTTGACGAAAGCCAACATTCATCATTTCAGAGAGCAGTAGTACTACCCCTAATTCAAGCCCCCGATTTCTTCGCCTTTGCATATTCGTAATAATTCACCAGTTGCCTTTCGTTTACCTAAGAAAGACTAACCATCTTACACAACATTCAAACTTTCCATGTGGTGTACACTAAGTGCTATCCTATTGGCTATTGGTTTAGGCAAGCACGGATCACTCCGTTCACGGTGACCAAACCGCTGAAAGTCGGTGACCATCTGTGATTAGATACCCACTTACTCCGTGCACTGTCGCACGTTGCCACGGATCAGTCTGTGGCTGCGATTCGTGGTCACTGCCTACTTGATAAGTTACTGTACTAACCGACAACGATTTATGATGCTGTGGTCCATTGTTCCATTGCTGTTATGTAACGAATTGGTTATTGTCGTCATTGTATGTGTGAAATAGTAGAAGCTGTCAAAATTGTTGAAATCTGATAGTGACAACTTTTGTTGAGTATTGCTGCTGACAGTGCATAACACTGTATTGGTGATACCATGAGTACTGAATCATACTCTATAGAACATAGTAATTATGTAGACTGCAAAATTTACCGAAGTATTAAATGTGTGTTAGGACGCCGGTTAGAAGGATCCATAGAAAAATATCTGGTTGCAGGTTAAGTTTAATTCATTGTCGGGGCTTAAGTGTATACTTACAATGATGACGTAAATTGGTTAGTTAATTAGAAGACATCGTGCTCAAAATGGTTAAAAGAAAATCTGTTGTGCCCCAGCGCCTATGTGAAGAACGTAGAACCGAGTTAACGTGGGGCCTAGCAGATAATGAACCAGTGCTACGTCAGGTTGATAATGTTGGCATCGGTGATAGTACTGAATCTGTACATTACATGGATGACCATGGAACAAAGGATAAGATCAACAGGAAGCGTCTTCGTAGGAAATTCCAGTTAGAAGATGAAGTGAATGATGTATATCTTAGGGAACTCTTAACAGGCTGTGCATTTTATTTGACACTTAGAAAGGAACTGGAATTGAACAAAAATGAACATGCATTTCAGCTGGGAAAGTTATCGCTGGCTTTACAAACAAACTGTGTTACATTCCCAAAGGACAGTGAATTCTGGCTGTATGTGAGCGAGTTTCCAGATCGTAGCCTGTTATATAGCGAGGGTTCTGACGGTGTTACATATTATCTTATTAAGGGAACTTTGGATGTTCAATTCTACTCAGGTAATCACATATTTTATTGTAAGTGTCCATGAAAGAGTAGAAATACAGTAATTTGTAATGCATTCTTTATTCTGGTAATGATTTGGTTCATTCATTAATTTGAAACCAATGTGCAATATTTCCTCAGAGGGAGGATTTGGGCAAATTAAGTATTTGCACATAAGATTACAATTAATTTTTTTTTGTATTAAATCTCCTTTGCTTTCACAGTGCTTTTTGCTTCTTAAGTGCAAAGGGCGTTACACTGTCTTCATTGTATGCATCAATTAATATTTATAATCTATTCTTAATTGTGAAGAAATCTAGGAACCTGGCAGTGTGGCAGATGTCAAAGTCAGCAATGAATAAATGTTATGATATGCAGATGGTCAGACAGTAGTTTCTCACCAAGGAGCTGTGAGTTTAATCCAGAATGAATTTTGTGAGATTCATGATGGACAAAGTGACAGCAGAGAAGGTTTTTCTTAGAGGTTCTTTATTTTCCCCTTTCATATCATTACATCACAATCAATCCATTCCCACTGTCACCTGATGCATGCAAAAACTCTGAGCAGACAGCATATTGTCACATTCTGAGTATTTAAGTTTATTGCTTTGTCTTTGATCTCATGCTTGGCTGTTTAGAGTAAAAGGTAAAGTTATCTCTATGCTTAATTAATTAAACACCATGTCAAGGAGATATGGGGGAGTGGAGATACAGCTTCATCATTCTTGACCTCAGCACTCGGTAAGGTGAGTGCACAGTTTCATGGCCTGGCTGCATTACACCTGGGCAGAGAGTCCCCAGAGCCATTCTGGATGCTGTGGAGAAGAAAAAAATATCTTGCCTCTGCCAGAAATTGAACCCTGGCTATCCACCATGTAACTTGTTATACCAGCTGAGCTATCCTGGCTCCTGACTGCTTAGAGTAAGAAGATAAATGATATGAACTCCGTCCCAAGCGCAAACAATATATTATATGTCCTTGATCTTGCTCTCCTTTACACTACATGTTTCGGCCTCAAATGGCCATCATCAGGTGTATACACTCACGTTGCTGTTACACTGCACTTAGTTTAAAATTTAACATTTAAAAACACGTTCCTTTCGTTGTGTGCCGCTGCGGTTCTTTACTATGTGACATGTAGTAAAGAATAGCAGTGGCACGCACACAGGGAGACTACACAAAATAACACCTGTACAGTGCTGGAAACATGAACTAGCTGCTGCAGCACTATAGACATAGGGCAAGTAACCCTGACAATTTTAAAATTTAGAGAAAAATTCTAAAGGATTTTAAAATTAGAACTAAAGATTTTACAAGTGCTAACGTGTGTAACAAAAACTAATCTATAAACCAGACAGATATCAACGAAGTAGATGCTGATAATAACAACGAAAGGAACGCGTTTTTAAATGTTAAATTTTAAACTAAATGCAGTGTAACGAGCAACGTGAGTGTATACACCGGATGATGGCCGTTTGAGGCCAAAACATATAGTGTAAAGGAGAGCAAGCTCAAGGACATATATTGTTTGCACTTGGGACAGAGTTCATATCATTTATCATATAGAGTGCAACAGGTTGTTTAAATATAATATTAGAGTAAGAAGGTTAAGCTTATTTAGAAGGTAGAACAGACTAAGTTTTGTGTCCTCGCACTCTGCACCTCAGAACTCAAGAGAATAGCCTTTTGTAGGGCTGAGGTTTTTATAGCAGAGGTTATAAAGAGTTCTGTCTTCTGAGATATGTTTTGGAATGTCAGTTGACTTTCAGCAGACTCTATGGTATTATATCCCAAGAAATAGAACTCTTTGAATAGTCTTTGATATGATGAACCCCATTTGAGAATATAATCATTGTCTGTTTGCTTCATTGCTTACTTAACAATGCTGTATGAATTGCAGTGGTTTCAAAGTCTGCTACAGTGAGCATATAAATGGTATTAGGACTAATAAATAACATTCTAAATTCACACAACATTTTGGAAACTGGACATACATTTGACATGATGGACAAGACCGTGAAAGTATTACATATAGAAAGGAAAGGACCCAAACTCAACACATTAGAAAGATATTATATATATGACATAATGAAGAAAGGTCTGCAGATTAATGGTACATTTACAGATGTGCATAACCCCATATTTGACATTCTAGTAAAAACACACACAGAGACACATAAAATAATCCCACCCCTTCCCCATCTCTCAAACCACTCACAGTATCCTCCCCCTGCCTCATACCACTTGACTCTATACAAACAAACCCGCATATACAGATACCCCCCAAACAAGTGGTGTAGACTGAACAGTTACAACATAGCGACAACCTCAACACAGAGAGCAGCATGTACGTATATCATAAGAAAATCTAATGTATGTAAATACATATACTTAATAACCTAATAACAAGTTTAATAACACACACACAAACTTCTTATAATAATAAAGAAACTGTTACAGATCACTCCAAATAAAAGACCTGTTAGGTCACATACAGAACACTGATCATAAGCTTCACAAGAGGATAGTAAAGTTAAGACAACACAATACCTAGCTTATGTGAGAAGATCTATTTATTATCTAAGTAATTTAAAATTTTAACTGAAAGATTCAATTTATGCATTTAAAAACACTCAAGTGCACAGTAACGATCCTTATGCAATTAGATGCAATTCAACAACTGAGACTGGTATCATTGTAAGCCTGATGATGACCCAGTATAAGGGTTGAAACATGTTGTATCAATAAAAACAAATGTTGATATGATACTGTCTACTTTGTTTTAAATACAGAATATTGTTGTGTAGACTGCATATTTTGTATACATCTTACGTACCTTAGTTTCATAGTACACTTGGTCATCAACTTATGACCGGCCGCACTTACGACCACAAACAAAAACGTAAAAAGTTTTTAAAAATAAATTTTAAAGATGATAAAAAGATTAGAAAGGTTAAAAAATACTGTTAATAAATATATTGCCAACATACGACCAGATTGACTTACGACCTGTCAGTCAGAATAGATTAATAATACACATGAATTTTAAAAATATGACGTATAGGATGATAAGTTTTAAGTTTTAAATACATGTACTTTATTGTTATGTGTGGTCATATACAAATTTAGTATTGTTTGTAAATGTACATATAAAGGCAAGCAGTGAAATGGTTAACGGATCGATTCACCTGAAGATGGCAGCATACTGCCGAAACATGTAGTGTAGAAGTGGTAGATGGGATTGTATGCACTTGAAGACTGTTAATATATACACATTATGAATATGAATCAATGCAACAGGACGCTAAAATACAACATACAGAATAGAAGTCGGTCGTAAGTCAACGACCAAGTGTATTAGGTAATAAATCGTGAAATGGTGATTCCAATTTTCAGATTTGGAAGGATGTTATAGGAAGCAATTGTAACTAAGTATTGTATGATAAGTATGATAAGTATTACCTAAGTATTTGTGTGGAAGAACCAGAGTTAACCATGAAAAATATCAATAAAAATAGTCATTTTTGGGCCTCACGTTCATATTTGCACTGGATGCTGTAGTGTTAACGTCTGCCCTGTAAGTCACCACATCCTTGTAAATCATTAGCACATGATGATGTATGGTATGATGATGTAAAAGAAAATGTAAAACTATCCCTGTAACAGGCCGTGAAGGCCCATAGGGTTGTGAGACGTTGAGGGTCCCACATTATCTAGACAGTCAGCTCAAAGATGGTAGTAAGGCTGTCAGCTCCATGTGCCATCTGCGCTTTACTCCCCAGGAAAATTTATTTATTTAATTCTTGATACTCATTTCTGTTAGAGGCTGAGTTGACCCCAGGGCCATAGTGCAGCTGGAAGGATTAAGTCAATTGAAAAAATCCATTCACCTCATTGGGACTTGAACCTGTGACCTTCCGGCTTGTAGCATAGTGCCTCAACCAACTACGCTACCGCGTGCCCCCCAAAATGAGGATGTAGCTTGGCATATATGCACGTGTTGAATGTACATTCTTCACAGTTTTACACTGAAACCTGCCTGACTTTAGTTTCTGTCTGCCTTGCCTAGAATATTTTCCGGTGATCCCTTTCTGTGTAAACTGGTGTGATCTTTGCCATCTCATATTAACTTTTTATTTTACTCTTAATTGTTTTCAGGTTTAGCTCTTCGTTGCTTTGTGTTAACATTTGGAGGCTTCATTGAAGAATTGCATCATCTAACTGTAAATGTCTTTTTCCGTGAATCACATTGTCGAGGATCGACGTTTCACTTGGAAGTGAAGCAGAGGAGTGCAAACCAAGACTTCCAGGCAGTCATTTCACATTTCTTTGGCATTGTAACTCCAGGTATGTTGCTAATAAGATACTGGGAGCTCCACTACACGTACTCAGTATCCAGTTGTGTCATTTGTTATTGTAAAAATACATACAAGTACAGGTTTCAAGAAGCACCTCTGAATAAACATCTTATGAAAATGATGACAGAGAAACTGCTAGCTAAGAGACTGACCTGCCAGCTGAATTAGTGCTACTTGCAACCAGCGCATGCAGTGCTTTATTATTGCAGTGTGTTACAATAATCTTGTGCACTATTTTAGAGCATTATTATATAGAGGAGTGTTGATGGCAATTTATATTAATATAGTTTCCTTATTGATGTTTCTTTATTAATATTTTGTGCTAGACATATTGAATTTGGATGAATGATTTCTGTTCTGTGTAATCATCATTACTATTTTTATTCATTACACAGATCAGTATAAAAGTTATGCAGGATATGTCATGGAAATAACAGTGAATGTGCCTGACTAGGACGTTTGAAATAACAATAATCATAAAAGCAGAACCCTACATCAAGATCCATGAGGTAGTGTAAGATAGTCATAAAACTGTTTACTAAATCGTGTAGTATGCAATTACAGATAGAGAATGTAATTAACTGTGCACAGATAGTGTACAACTTAACACAATATAATTATTATACATATAATATGGCATAACATATATTTGTCAGATATCAAATTGTCTGCTGTTTGACGCAGCCCTGAACCATTTTCATTAATATCATCCTCACATATTTTCCTAAAATTCAGCTTAGAATTATATTGAGATTTTGGCCTCCTGGGATGTGTTGCTGCGTATTTTTGTTACTCCGTACCGATGTTTTGGAGGAACTTTATGCCCATCATTTTCAGATTGGAAGGTACACCCTGAAGATGGAGGCAGCAGTTCCCTATGAAACTTTGGTCTCGGTTGGTTAGTGAAGCGTTGCCACAAAGGCTGAGGACACTGCTGTGAGACAATTCTTTTTTTTTGGGGGGCACAGCAGGAGGAAGTTGTGTCATGTAGGGTAGTACAGCTACATAATCAATGCATTTTCTTAAATTTTCCTCTTCTCCAAAAGTAAACAAAACAAGAACAGCCTACACCCATCTAAAAAACTACATAATATCATATCCCAGAAGATTGTAATTTTAATATCACTGGGAAAATTTTAAATTTTATGTAATGTTATTCTCTGATCTCTGTTTTTGTCTCTCAAGCAAGTCTACCCATCAAAATTCAGNGTAGTCACACAACTAGCACAGTAGCTGGGATAGAGAAGTTGGTATAGTCACTGGCTATGGGCTGGACGAGCAGGGGTTCAGAGTTTGAGTCCTGGTAGGGTCAAGAATTTTCTCTTCTCCACATTGTCCAGATCGGCTCTGGGGTTCACCCAACCCCCTATCCACTGGGTACTGGGGGCTCTTTTGCCCAGGGTAAAGCGGCTGGTGCATGAAGCTGACCACTCACCTCCAGCTAGTGCCAAGGTCAAGAAAATGTGGATCTATACATCTGCTCCCACATACGCTTTCATGGCGTAGTGCTTAATTAGTTAAACACAAGGACAACTTTACCTTTTACCTTACATATCTACCACTTCATTGCATGTTTTGACTTTGAGGTTATAACTGAATGCGAGAGTAATGCCAAATTTTTTGGAGGAAATAATGCTGCATGTAACTGCATTATGACTTTGTTGCTATTTATTGTTTCATGTTCTTATTAGATGTGTCTGTATTTAGTTCCAGACCAACAAACCCCATCCTAAAACTGTGAACACCAGAGTTGACATTATTCCCTTATAAGGGAATATTACTTTGTTAATGAAGCCATGTTGTTAATACTGTATGATGCCACACCATATGATGCATTGTACTGAAGGAAAGTTCTGTTTCAAATCTCATGAGATAAACTTTTTATTTAAAGTGTGTGATGGCTTCAGAGAAGTGAGGAAGCATGATGTTGAAGCTCTGTACCGAGCTATTAAGGAACACCACAAGGATGCACCAAGTAATAAATTGTCATTCACACAGCACTCCAGCTTAGTGCCAAGATTACGTCCCTATCAGAGTCAAGCTGTGAAGTGGATGCTTTGCAGAGAATCTCTAACTGATGGTACCTCCGATGGTAAGTGATTTGTAGAGATTCTCTGATGGTGTTTAAAAATACAGAATGAATGAAAAAGTTAGTAGAATTTTCAAAGTGAATTGCTTCTTAAATGCTTGGTATAGCAAGAAAACCGATTGCATGTTTTCCCCAGTGCTCAGAGTTATGTTTCCTCTCTCTGGTCACTCTCCCACTCTGGGTGACAGTTTGTGAAAACCTGGATGTAGGCAACTGTTGCTTCAACAGAATCATGTTTAATGATTAGTCAGAGTGCCTGAGAAGTAGGCTCATGAAATCTACTGTGTAGTAGCAGCATGACTTTGGCTACCAGCATGCTCTTTCCCCAGGTTAGAGTGGTAGGGGCATGAAGCTGAACACTTACTTTCATCTAGTGCCAAGTTCCAGAATGGCAGAGCTGTATCTCCACCCCTCCGTACATCTTCATGGTGTGATGCTTAATTAATTAAGCACAGAAACAACTTTACATTTACTTTAGCACCATTACTTTTAATTGATATTTGATTGTCTGAAGAAACTGTACTATATTGATTTTATTTTATCATTTATTTACAGTTTATACACTACAGTAGGTCACACTATATAGGATCATACATGAATCATGAATTTGAAAGGCTACAGAAGGAAGCTTTCATGACCTAATTTAAGGCATCATCCCAGTGTTTGTTTGAAGGGACTAAGGAATTGCACAAGACATTTTAGTCAGGATAGCCAGTGGCATGACTAACATAACGTCCATGTATTTATTGTCTGTCAATATTGATGGACGATAAATACATGGACGTTAAGTTAAACAATTGCAACAGGATGCTGAAATACAGAATTATAAATAGTAGTCACACTAAAGGCATATATAATAAAGAAGTGTTGCAATTTTGACGGACAATAAATACATGGACGTTAAGTTCAACAATTGCAACAGGATCCTGAAATACAGAATTATAAATAGTAGTCACACTAAAGTCATATATAATAAAGAAGTGTTGCAATTTTGACGGACAATAAATACATGGACGTTAAGTTCAACAATTGCAACAGGATCCTGAAATACAGAATTATAAATAGTAGTCACACTAAAGGCATATATAATAGACAAGTGTTGCAGTATTTATGGACGATAAATACGTGGACATTAAGTTAAGCAATTGCAACAGGATGCTGAAATACAGAATTATAAATAGTAGGCATGACTAAGATTGAAACTGGGCACCTTTTTAATAAAAATCCGAAGAGTTGCTCCTCGAGCCAGCTAGTTTAATAAGCTGATGCTTTCTTTTCCAGATGAACTGCACTGCCTATACACAGAATTAGTGACAGCTGATGGGCAACTTTTGTTCTATAACAAGTATGCAGGTTATGTAACACTGGAGAAACCAAAATCTGTGAAACTGCCGTCTGGTGGCATCTTGGCAGATGAGATGGGACTTGGTAAAACAGTTGAAGTATTAGCATGTGTGCTGGCAAATCAACGCCCTGTCAGCGATTGGAAGAAAGAGGAAGGGAACAATGATTTAAAGCAGGAATCTTCTTTTAACAATAATGAAGACAAGCGTGAGGATGTTGTAATAAGTGTAAATCATATGCAAGAAGAAAATATGTGTGTTTTGACCTGCAAGGATAGCAGCATTCAGAAGTTGTTACTGTCAAATGTAACAGGAGAGTCAGCTAGTCAGGATGTTGGTGAAGAAAATACTGCCATGCAAACGGAAAATACAGATGGGCCTGGTGAAATTCAAGTGGTAGATCTTGGAATGGAATGTGATGTAGCTGCAAATGTGTTGATCTCTACGTATGGTGAAATATCAATTGGTGGAGATAGCAACTCATGCAGTGGTATCAGAGCTCTGGAAAATTGTGGTGGAAAGTCAAATGATACTACTGTAGCACACAATTCTGAAACCAGTTCAGGAATTGATGTAGAAAACAGTAATTCAAACACACATGAAACGCCTCTCACTAGCGAAGGTACTGGAAAATGTTTCGATAAAAATAATGACAGCACTCTACATAACAATGTTAGTCAGGATTCGCTGCATTCAGATATAGTGGATAACATAGACAACTTTGATATAGACAGTGATGATGATGATGATGTTGATGATGACGATGATGATGATGAAGATTGGGAATATTTTATGAAATTAAGAAAGTTTAAAGGCCGAAGAAAACGTAAAATAGGAAGAGAGAAGAAAGAAAGGTACAAGAAAGTGGTTGTAAAAAAAGGAGCAGTTCGTAAATATAAAAACAAAAGAACAAGAATAATAAAAACAAAAAGAGAAAAGAAAGCATTTACTGATTCAGTTGAAGAGACGATAGAGCATGTCATCTCCAAATTCTGCTATGGAAATGGTAAAGTTATGTACAGGAAGGGCAAATACAGGAAGGTGGGTTTATAAGTGAAATGTTGAGGCATGTCACTGAAATGTATAGCAATTTTTGACACATCTGCTATGCAGCAGAACAGATAGTCACTTTTTTAAATATATTGTTCAAAATCAGCTTCTCCTGATAAATTGGGTATGCTGATTGCAAAAAATGACAGTTAAAAGTTGTAACACACAATTTCTTATTCTACTTCCTCTTTGTTTGTCTGTTTACATGGCACATTATGCACCCATTGCTTCACAGTTTGAAGTAGCGTTGCTTAAATGAAAATGAACTGTTCTCTGGGTAGTAGAACACCATTTTCTCATATTATGGTTGACAGTAATTGTAAGAATACTAAAATTAGGATACAAAAATGAAAGAAATATATTGTTTGGGCTGAAAATTCAATGCACAGAACTGTGACATGATGGAAATTTTTTGGTACCCAGGACTGGAATGACGATATTAAAACAAATCTAAAAAGTTAATTTTCTTTTTTTGTTACCATAACATTATCAGCAGTTAAGAAGGTAGAGTTCGTTAGTGATAGGATATCAAATATAATACTAAAAGGTTGCTGATGTGATATCATTGTTATGAATGCTCATGCCCCAACATAAGATAAAATTGATGACATAAAGGATAGATTCTATGAAGAACTAGAACATGTATTTGATAAATTCCCAAAGTACCCTATGAAAATTTTGTTAGGAGATTTCAATGCCAAAGTAGGGAGGGAAGACATTTTCAAACCAATGATTGGGAATGAGAGTTTGCATGAAATTAGTAATGATAATGGAGTTAGAGTAGTAAACTTTGCCACATCAAAAATCTTACTATCAAAAGTACAATGTTCCCACATCGTAACATCCATAAATTTACTTGGACATCTCCTGATGGGAAGATACACAATCAAATAGACCATATTTTTGTAGAGAGGAGATGGCACTCAAGTATACTTGATGTTCGATCATTCAGGGAAACAGATTGTGATACTCACCACTACCTTGTTGTGGCAAAGTTTAGGGAAAGACTGGCAGTGAGCAAACAAACAACACACGGAGTTCATATGGAGAGGTTCAACCTGAAGAAATTAAATGATGTNAGGGGTTACCAGCCTAGCAGTAACTTAGTGAAGGATGAGAATGGTGATCTGCTTGCAGATTCCCACAACATTTTGAATAGGTGGAGGAACTACTTCTCTCAGTTATTGAATGTACATAGGGTCAGTGATGTTAGGCAGACAGAAATCCATACAGCTGAGCCGTTAGTACCGGATCCTAGCTCTTTTGAGGTTGAAAGTGCTATTGCAAAAATTGAAACAGTATAAATAGCCAGGTAGTGGTAAAATTCCGGCAGAACTTATTCAAGCAGGAGGTTAAATATTACATTCTAAGATCCACAATCTAATTACTTCTATTTGGCATAAGGAAAAATTGCCTGATCAGTGGAAGGAGTCTATTATTGTACCAGTTCACAAGAAGGGTGATAAAAATGATGGTAGTAATTATTGAGGGATATCACTGCTATCAACTTCATACAAAATTTTATCCAATATTCTTCTCTCAAGGTTAAGTCCATATATAGATGAAATTATTGGGGATCATCAGTGTGGGTTTCAACATAACAGATCAACTACAGATCAGATCTTTTGCATTCATCAGATATTGGAGAAAAAATGGGAGTATGATGAGACAGTACATCAGCTGTTCATAGACTTCATGAAAGCCTACAATTCAGCTAGGAGGGAAGTATTGTACAATATTCTGATAGAGTTTGGGATACCCATGAAACTAGTTAGGTTGATTAAAATGTCTTTAAACGAAACGTATAATAAAGTTTGTGTAGGTAAACATTTGTCTGATAAATTTCCTATTGAGAATGGTCTAAAACAAGGAGATACTTTATCGACACTCCTTTTCAACTTTGCCTTAGAATATGCCATTAGGAAGGTCCAGGGAAACCAGGTGGGACTGAAATTAAACGGGACACATCAGCTGTTGGCCTATGCCGATGACGTGAATCTACTGGGTGATAATGTAGATACCATAAAGAAGAACCCACAGACTTTAATTGACGCAAATAAAGAGGTTGATCTAGATGTAAACACTGAGAAAACTAAGTAAATGTTGCTGTCTCATCGCCAAAATGCAGGCAAAAATCATGATCTAAAGATAGAAAACAGATGTTTTGAAAATGTGGCACAATTCAGATATTTGGGGACAGTGATAACAGATCAAAACCTGATTCAGGAGGAAATTAAAAGGAGATTGAACTCAAGTAATGCTTGCTACCATTCAGTCAAAAACCTTTTGTCTTCTAGTCTGCTGTCCAAACACATAAGAATTAGAATGTACAAAACTATAATTTTGCCCATGGTTCTGTAAGGGTGTGAAACTTGGTCTCTGACATTAAGGGAGGAACATAGACTAAGGGTGTTTGAGAAGAGGGTGTTGAGAATATTTTGACTGAAGAGAGATGAAGTGACAGGAGGTTGAAGAAAATTGCATATTGAGGAGCTTCATAACTTGTACTCTTCTTCAAGTATAATTAGAATGATCAGGTCAAGGAGGATGAGGTGGGCAGGGCTTTTAGCATGAATGGGGGAGACGAATGCATATAGAATTTTAGTGGGAAAGCCAGAAGGAAAAAAACCACTAGGAAGACCTGGACATAGGTTGGTGGATAATATTAAAATGGATTATAGAGATATGGACTGGGATGGTATTGATTGGATTGATCTGGCTTGGGATAGGGACCAGTGGAGGGCTCTTGTGAACACAGTAATGAACCTTCGGGTTCCATAAAATGCTGGGAAATTCTTGAGTAGCTGCAGAATTGGTGGCTCCTCCAGAAGGGCTCAGCTCCATGAGTAAGTAAGTAAGTTACCATAATATTCTTGACTAGTGTTGCGTGTAGCAAGAACTGACAGCAGGTTTGTCTTTTGTTCTGGTTATGAACCTGCATGCTGTATGACCACTTGTCTATAAGAGACTAATGAAACCAGTTCTAGTACACTCACTTTCACAATATAAAATGAGCTCCATAGGTTGCATCTTTCCTGTTACCTTTTCTAGCAACTGGTTTGATGGCAGTTTAGTTCCACACACACACTTTCTATTTGATTACCTTGCACTGAAGGACTTTCATTTTTAAATGGATGTACTGTTTGTAAAATCACAAGTAACCATTTGATACAGTATGTCATTTACTCCTCATTTTCTGAAGCCAGACTATCTTTGTGTGGTGCCTTGCAGTCTGGTAGATTCTTACCAATATTTGAGATAAACCTTCTGCCTTCATAGCCTGAAGATGACAGAAACAGGTTCTTACAAAACATTGTTAACAGGCTCCCAGAAGGCTGTAATATGCAGTGGTACATTAATAAACTTTGTTTCTGTGCAGGTGAGCAGCTGGCATGAAGCCAGTCAGATATGGTATAGAGAAATGCTGGCAATGGTAACTCTTCGCAAGCCTCAGAGTATTCGTGAGCGAGCAAGAGGGACCATATTAGAGTGTGTATGTGGATCACATGAAGACTCTGATAAATCCAAAGTGTGCTGCTCTGGATGCAGTCGCTGGCAACATGCGCAATGTGTCGGCTTCAAACAGCTTGAGGGAGCCCAAGAACCCAGAGCCTACTGTTGCCCTCAATGCTGGCAGGCTCAGGTGTGATAAATGTGTTACAAATGTTTGATAGTGCTTGTACCATATTTGTTAGCAGTCACAAGGTTTAAATTAGGTTCTGTGTGCCTGAGGATCCAGCTACACAATTGTTGGCTTCTCAAGAATGGTTCAGCCTCATGAAGTTAATTAGTTAGTTATTTATGACTGAGGAGGCAGGATAGCAAAATCAGTACAGCATTGGGCTATGAGCTGGATAACCAAGGAATTGGGGTTCAATTCCCAGCAGGGCAAGAGATTTTTCTTTTCCACAGCATCCAGAGTGGATTTGGGACCCAATCAGCCTCTTGCCTAATCAGTATCAGGACCTCTGTCCGTGGGAGTGAAGCAGCTGTGGCATGAAGCTGACCACCTCTATATGGTACCAAAGTTAAGAATTTATGCAGAAATATTGCCATTCCCCCATATGCCTAAATGGTGTGGTGCTTAATTAGTTAAGCTCAGGGACAACTTACCTTATTCTATGACTGAAAACTTTTAAAATCGTTTGTAGTCCACTGTCCCTTCCTATGGAAAGAAAGTAGGCTTACGTGATCACCATATTGTCTTTATGCTCCATTCTTCATCTTCTGAACAAGTTCTCACAAAACTTGGTATGAATGTTATGCCTCTGGAGGCAGCCCTAATGGTGCATTTTCTGATTTCTTGCTGTTAATAATGGTGGTATGGCAGGGGAACAAAAAAGTTGTTTTCTGTTTTGGTTTGATGACAATAACTAATGAACCATGTGAGTTAGGTACATGAAGTTTGGTGTTGAGATAGACTGTAAGCATGCCTGCACATCATGTTTAAGTAATTATAAGTTACAGTTGCAAACATATGAGGTTATGTCTGACAAATTTAGTGTAGACAGAATCAGTATTCAAGTAACATATTGTCGCGTATCGGGCGTATATCGCGACAAATAACTTCACGCCGTATTTTATATAGCGAATTTTATTTCACATTCGCTCTTACAATCACCCAAATTACAGATTCACAATTACTGCTATCTGCAGTATCACAAATACTATACTCCAAATGCCAGAATACATCTGACTGGTTGCTGGCTAACTTGGAACTAACTCGGAGGTAGCTCGAGGACTGACTCGGAGGTAGCTCCAGGACTGACTCTGAATAGCCTTCGCTGCTCCTTATGTAGCCTCGGTCCGGACCATTATCGTCTGGTGCCGTGTTGCTAGCCACGCTGTCCGGCAACCGCGATATCCCTTGGTGACGTCACCGCTGTTGATTCGCGTTGNCGTCGGCTCCACTCGGCTCACTTTGGCTCCGCTCGTGACGTCACCGCGCGTTGCATAGCTATCAGGATGCGGGGTGATTACTCGCCTATTATGCGAGCGCTACGTGCAGCTGGGGAGGTAGGGGTCAACATGTCACAATATTCTTCACAAAAATAATTTAAAATGGCAGTTGAAGTAGTAATAGATTTGTATGACTGAAGTCTCTGTAATGGAAAAGTACAGTCTATGTTTCCACTTAGAATGGCTTCCTTAGTTCAGTGGGCTATTTTTTATATATGTATAAATGTGTTTAAAGGCAAAAAGATAGAGACTGAAATATTCAGTTCAGAAATATATTTATTTTTCTCATCATTTAGTGTCTTCTTTCTGAAGGAAGAGGCAGACGGGAATGGGTTAGAAATGGAGTTAAAGTACTTTAAACCGTACGCTTCATTTTGTTTGGGAAGGCATTATGCGATTGGTGTATTGTTATGAAAATTACTGTTAGGAGCTGTATATTTTTGGATGTAAAATTATATCATTTATCAGAAAGGTGCTGGTATTATTTTAGGATAAATAAAGTGAAAGGTTAGGTTTTATTCGACATTGTATCATTGAAACATTGCACAGTTTGTGTAGGGTTGTACCTGAATATAGTACTCATGTATTGAAAAATGCCATTATATCCAAATTGTTTTCCATGGGTGACACTAATTTATACTTCTTGGCTAGAAAATCGTAATAAATTATTAGATTTGTGTTTTTCTGTCACTGAACAACATAATGTTAAGTTTAACACACTGACTGCCATAGTGAATTCTTGCCTTTTTTTTTTACCAGAGGCCACCAAGTTGCTATATGTAATCTTTGCACTGTTGTGAATTGTCACAGCTAATAACAAATGTTGTATTGTCACAGATTCTGTTGTGCATTGCAGTATTCACAGTCCATAGCAGATGCACTTCATTCAATCTTGTATGCAACCATCATACACCAGTGATTGGTGTGGTGCTACATAAAAGGTCTCCTGGAGACACTAGTGGATGCTGTGGCAGGCAGACAAAGTTCTTCGCAGACCCTGATGTACTCCATGGCAGTCAGCATGTTAAATACAGTTGCTTATCATAAAAACAGCTTCACAGAGTCTGTCTGTTACAAAGAGCTAACCCTCAATCACTAGACATCCATATGTACATCTGAGATGAAGTTTGTCAGTGGGAGATAACAGGAACATTTTACAGTAAAAATTGTGGGAATGCATGACCTGAAACTAAGTTAGAGAAGGAAGTGGAAAATTCATGCATCAACGAAAACAACAAACAACTCAACGAAATCTAGAAACACTGCTGCAGAGGAAGATTGAAATTTACATGATTTTACAGTACCCACCTAACACTTCAAAACAAAGTAATCCCAGGTGTTAAAACACTGTTGTCAGAACCCTTTAGAATAAGCAGAATTATGGTTTGTAATTACTGTACATAGGAGCCTGTTGTGTCTGGAGCCACTTTGATAGTCTCCCCTGCTTCCATCAGCAACCAGTGGGTCACAGAAATTCAGAGACACGTGAATCAAGAGAACTTCAGTATTCTTGTGTATAGGTAGGTCACTGTGCTTTCTTTCACTGATAGCAAGTTTTCTTCATTTCACTTCTAGTCCATCTACTATATGACTCAGGATACATCTTATGTGCATTGTATAGGCAATCATGTGGAAGAAGAGTCCTTTGTAAATTTGTTAGAATTTTCAGTCGCTGTATGATAAGTAGAAGCATGTTAAAAATAAAGTCTAGACACTATCTAGTGATGATGTCCTGGTCTACATTACTAAGTGTTAGTGGTGCACCCTCATTCTTATAGAAGATGGAGTTATGGGGATCTGAGGTTCTCACAGCAATGGCTATAAACAGTATTAATTTCTGGGATATTCAACCCAGACTACGTGGTGTTATATCCCAGAAGATTTGGAATTTATGATACATTTTTTGTGAGTCTTTTCTTTTAACTTGTGGTCTACATCAGAAGTAACTGCTGTGAATGGCACAATCTGATAGTTTAGAAACCTGTGGAAGTACATTTTCAGTAGAAGTTTTAAAATGTCAGGTTTCTGCTTGACAAGGATTAAGTGATTTTCTGACTAACAAGATGAACTAACTAATTAAGCACTATGCCATGAAGACGTCTGGGAGAATGGATGTATAGATCCATGTTTTCTTGACCTTGGCACTTATTGGATGTGAGTAGTCGGCTTCACACCCCAGTTGCTCTGCCCTTGAGGAAAGGACCCATGGTACCCATTGGATAGGAGGCTGGGTGGGCCTGGAGCCGGTCTGGACACTGCGAAGAAGAGAAAATTCTTGACCCTATTGGTACTTGAACTCTGACCCCTTGGTCATCCAGCCTTTAGCCAGTCGCTGTACCGACTGAACTATCCCAGCTCTCTAACAAGAGGAAAGCATAAGTAATTTTTTATGTTAAGATTCAGGTCTTCTGGTATGTGATTCCATATATGAGGGTGAGTCAAATGAAAACCTTAAATTTGTAATAAAAAATCGAAATTTCACACCGTTATCCTGTAAGTTGGTAAGCGTGCTACAAACAGCATGCAGAATGGCCCGTAGGTTGCAGCATAGTGCAGATGCACGAACACCATCACAGCACCAGTATAAGATGGCTGCCCCACTTGAGACTTGCACCAGGGAAGAACAGCGTTCTGTTATTCGGTTTTTGTGTGTTGAAGGTGTGAAACCTATTGAAATTTATTGAAGAATGAAGTTTCAGTATGGTGATGCACGTTTGTCACAGCAGAAAGTGTACAAATGGAGTAGGAAGTTTGCAAATGGTGTGACTTCAGTGGAAGATGCTCGTTGTCAGGGTCAGGCACATCGAGTTTTGACTCCAGAGAACACTGCAGCAGTTGAAGCCATAGTGAGGGAAAACCACTGAGTGACATTGAATGAAACTGCAGCAAGTTTAAACATTAGTCATAGTTCAGCACACCACATTGTGCACGATGTGCTCCGGTTTCACAAAGTGTCTGCAAGATGGGTGCCATGGCAGTTGAGCTTTGTACCACTTGTGCACAATAAATAATACTCCAAAAAATATTTAAGGTTTTCATTTGACTCGCCTACGTAGTTTGGTAGGTAGGTATCATTGTTTGAAGACTAATGTTAATCTGTTTAATGGCATGAAGCTTCTTTCACCTATATGTAGTGCTGAGGTTAAGAATGGATGGAGCTGTTTGTCCATTGCTCCACACTTCATGCTGGGGTGCTTAATTAAGCACTTAAACAATTTGTAACATGTATATATTCTTTTTTCTCCCAGACCTGGCATAACCCCTTGCAGCTGAACATTTTACATAGTGTTTCAGATTATTGCTTTTCTGAAAGGAAGCGTGCACATAGAACAGACTACAATAATACATAATATTTTTCTATAGCAAACATATAGACTAATGCTGCCTATGCAGCTCTTGCTGTTTAACCCATTCTGTACTAATAACAAGTCATATTAGTGAAAGATTGAGGTATATCACATGTCTGACTCAGTCATTTCCTAATAGTGCAATCCTTTTGGGCATTAAAACAGGATTCCAAGACAATGAAATATGTCACTTATAGAATGTCTAAAGGCATTGCATTTGCCTTAAATTTATATTGATTCACAGAGAAATGTCATTTTGGTGAACTGAAACATTTTACATTTTCCAAAAGGAGTTTAGCTTTGTCACTTTGGAGACCCTTGGTCTAGACAGTGGACTCTGAACCAGTGAAGTTTATAAGGAACCAAAAGGGGGGCACCAAATAGCCCATTCACTTAGTATTATTTTCACCCTAAGTATGCATAGAATTGCGATTTTACTGCCAAACTCTGGGGTGTATACTGTGCTGAATATCTCACAAAGACCAAACATGGAATCAAATTTAATAAAATAGAAGCTGTAGCAAACTTCCACACTTACTGTTCCCTTACCACCAAGGAAGCCAGTGAAAGAGACACTCTGTAGCTTCAGCTGTGAGGACAGATAAAGAGAGTAAAGCCTGGTCTCACCTATTTTCTTCTGGAGTTTCTTCTTAATCACATGGTCCCTTTTCATTATATAGCAGGATGCACTGGACTCCCGTCCTTACTCCTACTGTGAGATCCCATAGACTCCACAACCTCATGCATATTCCATTGCAAGATCTATATGTCAAGCCACATCCTCGCTTCACCTCATTCACCTTGAAGATGGTAACTGCGGCGAATGATGAAATGAAACTTCACAACACAAAACCCAAATTTACACATTAATCCATGGTCTTTGATGTTGATTGAAGTAGACATTAATCTGTGGTGGTCACACCACTATACAGAGAAGGGTTGGTTAGTTAGTTAGTTATTTAGAGAGGGTGGGTTTCCCCATGCACTGTGACCAGTTTGATCTATTGTGCTTCCCTCTATGATATTCTACCAGTCTCTATACCCTACCGATAAATGGTGCGTACCATCAGTCCCGCCGAGCAAGCGAGTTTGGCCACTTGCTTAGCGGTGTCTATAATGCTTCCCCCATCTATCAGAGGCCTTAGAGACTATTGTTGGGCAGGAAACATTCTGGAATTTGGTTCAGTGATCCCCTTTGGGGATATGAGGTTCTTTTACATGCTGTAAAGTTACGACACGGGACACACAGCTTAAAGTCCCACCCGGAAGACTTGTTCCCTGAATTTTTCTGCCCTTAAAAATTCGATGACCTCTGCCGGGTATTTGAACCCGTGTACCACGAGTCATGAGGTGGGAACGTTACCTCTAGACTACGGAGGCCACTTACAGAGAAGGGCTAAAAAATACAGATCAGAGTACTAGAGATGGAACATAAGGATTGTCAGTACTATATTTTCCAAGAAAAATGTGATGTTTTTGTTTTTCTGTTTTACAGGGGTGTGCACAAGGATGGTTTTCTTCAGCCACATGATCTTGCAGAATACCATGTAGTCCTTACTACATATGAGACACTTAGAAAAGAGTTGGATTATGCAGACCTAAACACAACAGATGGGCACAGGTACAAAAAGTGTTGCGTTACTTCTTGTGTGGTATAATCTGAAGGAATGAAGATATGTGTAGCACTGGCATATATTTTCATTATATATATGTTCATTTTGTTAATGGTATTTATACATTTTTTTATTTCTCAAATGATGATAACTGCACAGCATGTATATTGCCAAAGGGTGGGGTGGGCAGACATTTTGCAAAGTACTATCCCAACGTTGCCTGGAAGGACTGAGGAAAACACAGCAAACCACAGGGTAGGCAGCATCTAAGCCAAGATCTGTGAACTCTGAATCTTCAGATTGAGTGCACACAGTTTCATGGCAAAGTTTAGGTTTTCACATCTTTGGAATTGGAAGATGAAAGATGCACCTATCAGTCTTGCCATTACAGTCTTAACATAAAACAACTCAAGAACTGCTGAGCGGATTCTTGTTATGTTTGGAATTGGGGAGCTTTGGGAGCTTTACTGAAATTTATCAGTACATTTCACTTTTAGTTAAAATTAGCTAATAATAATGGACACAATATGAAGACCTGTGTGTGTGTATCTGCCTACATCTCAAGCATAGCTCATTGAACACTTATCAAAGTGAAAAACGTTTTTGAAGAAGAGCTGGTGGGAGAAATGAAATATGTATTTTACTACCAGTACACTTTTTTGTGTAAACCTTAGAGTTTTCAAGCTAATTAGATTTGGTGTTTTGTGCATGGACTTCAGTACTTATTTGGAGAAGTAATGAAGTTGAATTGCACTAGATATTCAGAGTGCCTATTAATGTGTTATATTATAGTGTCTGGTATTACTAGGTCCTTGTTGCTGCTCTCCCTTGCAGACTAAGACATGTGAAACGGTTTCTTGCACCACCTTCACCCCTTCCCTGTGTTCAGTGGTGGCGACTGTGCCTTGATGAGGCACAGATGGTGGAGTGTACAGGCAGCAAGACGGCTGAAATGGCACGGAGACTGGGGGCAGTTCATCGCTGGGCCATCACAGGAACACCAATTCAGAAGTCCATGCATGGTGAATTTATCCTGGCAGTTTATTATTTTTCATAATAATGTTCTTTCAGGATCTGGGATAGCATAGTCAGTATTCAGTTATTCAGTATAGAAGGGGTGGGTTTCCCCATGCACCATGACTAATAGTCTATTTTACGTCACCCTTTAATTTCTACTGTCTCCATACCTTACCGATATTGGTGCCCGCTACTTCCCCTTTCTGCCAGCGAGGTCAGCCCTCTACGGGCAGTGGTACCCGATAACTCTCCCCTTTCTGCCAGTGAGGTTGGCCCTCTATTGGCATTGGTACCTGATAACTTCCCCATCTACCGGAGGTATTGGAAACTACTTGGGTGGGAAACATTTTGCCAAATTTTGCTCAGAGGTCTCCTAGAGACATTAGCATAGTCAGTATAGCAACTGGCTATGGGATGTATGGCAGGGGTCAGATTTCGAGTCCAAGTAGGATCAAGCATTTTCTATTCTCCATGTCCCCCAGATGGGCTCTGGGGCCCACCCAGCTTCCTGTCAAATGGGTACTGGGGCCTCTTTCCCCAGGTTACAGCGGCGGGGGTGTGAAGCTGACCTCTCACCTCCAACTAGTGCCTAGGTCAAGAATATGTGGATTGGTACATCCACTCTCCCCTACATCTTCATGGCAGAGTGCTTAACCAGTTAAGCACAGGGACAACTTTACCTTTCTTTAATGTTCGTAACACTACATTTTGCATACTTATTTCCAAGCTAATTTTTGGACGTTGGAATATGTTGTGATTTATGTTTATGTCCTTTAATATTTTGTTATCATCGTCCTTTGAAGCATTAGGCCTATCAAGAACTTTTACGAGTATTACAAAATGGAATCCTTGCATCATTTCAGAGGTCATCCCAATGTTCCTTTTCATTTTGGTTGATATTTGAAGATCTGTTTCGCAGTCATGTCAGAGCTTATCCTGTCAATGTGTTCTTTCCAGTTTCTTCTGTATTCTGTACATTATGTTATTTGTGGAATTTGTAGTTGCCTCATAACTTCCTAATTTCTTTAACAGCCCAAAAGGGCATATCCTAGACCCTCCTCATGATATGCATTTCTCCTGATATCAGTCTTCTTTCATCAGTTCTTCAGTTTCCTACTGTCCATTATTCACCATCATGATATAATGTTGGTCTGGCATGTCTTGCATATTTATGTTCTAGTATACCTTAACATTTTCTCTATAACCTTCCTTAAATCTCTTCAGAGTTCTTACAGTAGTCAGAACATTGTCCCTTCCTCTTCTGCAAAAGTTATTATTAATTCTTTAACATTTATTGTGTGGGGTCATGGGATTTAAATCTCCCACTGTTGTGGTGGTGACCAGATAGTACTCACTGGTGATGGAGAGGAAAGAACTGGTAAAGTACTGCTAAGGAAATATTATGAGAAGGTAAAATTGATTGTAGACATTTTGTCACCCATATAAAACAGAAATGATACCAGAGCACGATAAAGTATGAATAAGTTGGAGAAAAAATGAGCGCTCCTTTTCCAAACCTCGAATTATGTACATATGTATGTATCACAGTAAAGAAAGGGTGTTTCCTGAATTCTGTTTTATGGTGATTTCACTGAAACTTTATAGGTGATGTGTTTTAAAATATGGCAAAGTAATTTATCATAGGTAAGCTGGCAAGTGGGTACGCTACAATCCCAGATAATGCACATTTCTCCAGTTACCAGCTTAATGCATATTGAGACATGTGGGTTTTCTACAAATAAGTACAACAAGGTGCCATTGCATTTGTATGGGCTTTACCAGATCCGAGAACAGGATTTCATGGTGAAAGCGATCAGCACAGTAGAATGGACTGCTGTTATCTTATATTACTTACTCATGGAGCTGAGCCCTTCTGGAGGAGCCGCCAATTCTGCAGCTACTCAAGAATATCCCAGCATTTTATGGAAGCCGAAGGTTCATTGCCGTGTTCACAAGAACCCTCCACTGGTCCCTGTCCTGAGCCAGATCAATCCAATCCCATCCTATCTCGCTGAGCTCCATCTGTTATCTTATATAGGTATCATAATCCATAAGGACAATGTGAAGTTTGAGGTTCTGACAGTTGTGATTAGGAAGAGCCTACCTTTTGGGATGTGAGATCATATGGTCCAGTGTATATTTACCAGTGTTCCTCTGCAGCTTCAGTAAATATCAACCAGACCACATGGTGTCACCAGGCAAGCTGGAACAGGAGGAATGCTCTAGACTTGTATTCAGAGGTATTTTGTTAGAATCTTAGCCAGAGCACCAGCTACCCTCACTGAGGTTTATCATGATTTTTTGCAGTCCATTCAGGCAAATGCTAGGATAGTAGCTTAATCAGGTGACTTCCTCCTGTCACATCCTCTCCATTAATTATTTGCCAGTCATCCTGCAATTCAACATTATATCATCTGAAATACTAATGAAGAAGCTACCCCTGTAACAGGCCGTGGAGGCCCTTAGGGTTGTGAGACGTAGAGGCTCCCACATTTCCTAGACATTCGGCCCACAGATGGTAGTGAGGTTGTCAGCCTTATGCACTGGCTGGCCTTTTCCCCCTAGGAAGATTCGTGGTACTCATTTCTGTTAAAGGCTTAGCTGACCCCATGGCCAAAATGCAGCTGGAAGGATTAGGTCAATTTAAAAATGCAGTGACCTCATCAGGAATCAAACCCGTGGCCTTCCAGCTTGTAGCATAGTGCCTCAACCAACTATGCTACCATGGACACCCGAAATACTAGTAGAATCATAAAATAAAACACGAAATAAACAAGGCATCACATCCCAGAAAACAGTTTAAAAAACACTTTTATTTAAACACTGTATTATGTACAGACCACTGCTTGCTGAATAATCAATAAACTGACATATCTTGCATCTTTTATACTGTACAGTAATTATCATGCACTTAGTGTACAAATTTTGAGTTGTTTTGTTTTAACCTGCAGATTTGTTTGGCTTGGTGCAATTCTTGGGAATCGATCCTCATTGTGATCTTCGATGGTGGCAAGATCTTGTGTATGGGCCGTACTGCCAAGGAAACTGTGCTCCACTGTATGACCTCATGGCCAAAATAATGTGGCGTACAGCAAAGAAAGATGTCTTGGATCAGGTATATTAACTTGCTATATATATATATTTTTTTTATTATTTTGTGATCCCACATATAGTGAAATCGTATATGTAGTGAATGCTTTTTCTGGTCCAAGAAATGGCCCCATATAAACAATGTATGCCTGTATTTGGTGCAAGAAATCTTCAGCCTTCCATAACTCATACCTCAGTTTAGTGTGACTGTGATCAAAATGGCATTTGATATTCATGTTTCTTCTCTGCTGGCAATGTTACTGTACAACCATGATTTTTGGCAAGTGACATCACATGTTGAACATGCACTAAAGTCATGCCTCTTGTGACAACATCATTAGCTTGATTAACTTAACTCTATGTATGCTGGTCCGTCATGCTAATAAACTGAAGTATATAATAATTGTTAACACCATCCAGTGTGATTTAGTGTATAGATATTTATTGCCTTTACTTATTTCAGTCAGTTGACCATCTTCAGAAGGCATAAGATCAAAATGTTCAGGAACTACTATTACAAAGTTTATAATACATACTTACAAGTTTTTATATAAACGTTATTTGCAATTATTTGGATTAAAATCTTGTTAATGTCCAATATTTAAGATCTTGAACCGATATAGTTTGTGTCCTTGTGCCTCTTCTGTTAAAACGGAAAGTTGGGGTATTATTTGGAGTCCTCAGAGGTATATGCAGTGATGCCCAGCTTTTTTTTAGCTTGTTATAATTCTGTATTGTTGTGATGTCTAGTTTCCTTTTTGCTGTGTTTTGAGGGAACTAGACATCACAGTGATACAGAACCATAACAAGCTAAAACAAGGGGGCATCACTGCACGGACCTCTGAGTTCTCCAGATAATACCCCAAGATTCTGTTGTAACAGAAGAGGCACAAAGACACAAACTATATCTGTTCAAGATCGTAAATATTATACATGAATAAGATTTGAATCCAAATAATTGTAAATAACTTTTTGTGTAAAAACTTCTAAATATGTATTACAAACTTTGTAATAGTAGTTCCTGAATTCATTGATTGATCTTATGCCTTCTGAAGATGGTCAAGTGACCAAAACATGTAACGGCAATAAATATCTACTCATTGAACCACACTGGCTGGTGTTAATAATTATTCTATAATTTAATTAGCTTGCTCCATTACTGAGGTCCTTTCAGTGTTTGTTTCATGTCATTATTTTAGCAGTTGATATTGAATTTGTAATTGTGTTTATTTGTATAGAAATGGTTTGCCCCATTACGTATGTAAAGAAAGTATTTTTTATAATTATTCATATATATTTTATGTCTTATAAGAAGGCAAACAGTTTTTGATGTTAGTTTGTGTAATTGCTATTTAGTGAAAAACCCAGCTTAGTGCAATGAAGCACAGGAAACATTTTAAATCAGATTTTTTTTCTCTCTCCACATTCTGGACATTAATTGATATTCAGTATAGAGTGCACAAGAATTCCCGAATGAGATTATTTATGAAATTTCACTCTAAGTGATATAAAGTTATCAGAGGTAAAATTTAGTACATCTGTTGGCATATAAGTCAGGCCTGGACAAATCCTGGGCCAGCAAAACCTGAAATGTTGGCTTCAATATTTGCAAAAGAAATCTGGTCTGGAGGGTACGTCAGTGCTTGAAAACTATGAAGATGAAAGCATTACTAAAATATGGTAACTTGTCATTTTGATGGACCAATAGGAGGAACAGGGCATCCATTATTGCAGATGTCTGCTATAACTGATTGAAGGGGTATTTACGGAAGTGTGCCACAGGATACATCACCAGTACATGTAATAAACATAGAAACACACAGTGTGGTTACATGAAGGGTTTTATGTTGGTGCTCTTTTTTATATGAAATAGTTTTCTAACTAAAAAACTTTAGTGCCTCAACATCTCTAAAATTTCATAATTGTACACAACCAGATTTTGTGTGTTATGTTGGAAATCTGTTATATTGGGGTCCATTATAACGAGGGTTTGCTGTATGTTTAATATCTTCATGTGCACTTTATAACATTGCAACATTCCTGTTCTTCAGATTAACATTCCAGATCAAAGTGAAGAAGTGGAGTGGTTGCACTTTTCTCCAGTGGAGGAGCATTTTTATCGGAGGCAACATTCTGAATGTTCACAGGACTTCATAGATAGACTGAGTAAAATGCATAGTTTGGACATTACTCTAGACTCACTTAATAGGCAGACCATGAATAAGGTAAGCTGTTTTAGTGACTGAAGTTGGAACACGGTTTTTCTAGTGTCCAGATGTTAGTTCTGTCGATCGGGCCCCACTGAGCGGGCTTTTGCCTGAGGACAGTCTCTGAAACATTGTTTTGAATGAAAGACAGGATGATGGATAATGTTCAGAAAATCAATAACTGTAGCATTTCATTTGGTTGATTGTCCGGGTAATATATGATTTTAAATCTTTTAGTACCCCATAGTAGACAGCTTGGTATTAACTTGGGATATGGTTTATTCTTTGGGATGGTACTGTGAGGTTGACTTCCTAATTATAATTTGGGGGTAACAGTTTAACAGTTTGTCATTTGGAAGTTGGGGATTTTAAATCTTCCAGTACTACACAGCTAATGGTCATATTTTAACCATTTTTGGTGGGGAATGGTGGTTAAAATGTGAGTACTAAGCTACAGACAGCTGAATCACAAGTTTGTGCCTTTGTAGTAATGCATGCATTGGTAGTGATGGTTAAATAATAGTTATACAGTTTAGTGGAAATGAATTTGTTAGTACTGTGAATGATTTGGAGTAGTTCAGAATGTATAATTCACGTATTTCAGGTACTGGGACCTTTGCTTCGTCTGCGTCAGGCGTGTTCACACCCTCAGGCTGTTCGTGGACAGTTCCTGACAGCCACCAAAGCTACTATGAGTATGGAGGAGCTGCTTGAATCTCTGATTAAAAAGACACAAAACGAGAGTGAGGAAGCCCTTCGCCAATATATTGCTGCACTGAATGGTAAGGTTATAGTTTTCTTGTCTTTGTTTTTGCAACTTATCTTTTACCATCATTTACATTGTTCTGAAGTTAAATTACTCTTATAGCATTGTTTTCATTTTATATGCAGTGTTAGATGAAAAGTCTCCTGCTTCTTCTGTCTTTTCACAGACTTTCATCTTTCATTTCTTTCCAGCTCTTCTCTTCTTGATGTGTTTTAGTACCTGACTGAACCATCTTGTTCTGGGTTATTACATAGGTCTCTTTCCTTTAAATTTTAGTTTTAGTTTCCTCCTTGCTATTCTTGTTACATGATCAAACCATTGTAATCATTTTTCTACCAAGTCTGTCAATTTTTGAACCCCCGAAGTCCAACCAGAGAATTCACAATGCAAAAAGGGATAGCATCAAGCAGGCAACTGCCATTGTTGTGATACATAGTGCAGTGGAGGCACATAAACCCAAAATCGTGTATAGTCAGAATTACCACTGAAAATCTCTTAAATCTCTCTTAAAGTAAATGATTTTGTATATACCCTGTAATACAGTGCGTACAATCAAGTGCNATTTACATAATAAAGAGTACATATGCAAGTAAGATGTAGAATAATTTTGAAGAAAGCAGTGTTCTGAGATGTGGCGCCATGTAGATATTGCATTAACTGACTTTTTGGAGGAACATATCACCTCCATCTTCAGGGTAAAAGAAAAAAGGAGAAATTCCGCAAGTGAAAAACCAGCAGGAGCAGGTGCTAATAGCCTAAAGTCAAGATGGAGGTGATACATTCCTCCTAAACGTCAGCTCACAAAATATCTACACAGTGCCACATCCCAGAAGACTACTTTCTTCATAGTTACCGCCATGAAACCTCAGTCTTACATAGAAAAAATTTATTTTTAATTACATAAGAAATAGAAAGGGAAGATGGAAGAAGGGAAACAGCAAACCTGAGCACTCACCATTCATCCTGACCATTCCAATGAATAGTCCTCCTCTGAGTCAGAGTCAGAGTGTCAGTGTTTACATTTATTCTGAGCTTATGCTCCCTGAGTGATACTGTGTGCAGATTTGTCCACGTGATTTACATTTGTATTTTTCTCCATATTTTTATGTGTGCATACGCACATGTGTGGTTGAATTCATGTAAGTTAACTGCATGTATGATGCTGCTCTGTTGTACCAACATAGAAGATGAGAAGGTGCAACATGCATCCTGAAAATGAGGTCTAATGGTGCTCTGGTGAAGTTGTGACAGGCGCAGCAAGCCAGCAATAGATTCAAGAATGCTGTCAGAAGTGACAGTCTGTAGAAGAAAGGAGTGGGTCAGAAGGAAAACAACATGGAAGAATTCAAAGACTACAAATTGGAATATTGACTATGGTGACAGCTGGACATACACATCATGGAATTCTAACGTTGAATACGTGTTGTAGGGCTGGCTGGTATCCATATCATCAGAGAGACCTGGGCCCAAGCTGTAGAAATGTACCGAGATGTTCTGAGGATTTCTGAAGAATACAAGGGTAAACTGAAGACTGACAAATTGCAGGTATGCTCATGTTTCTATACATGCAGTCACATATAGGGTACAAAATATCTTCTAGCTTTGTTTCTGCTTTGTATGTGTCAGTGGATCAGAAGTCTCCAATCTGTTCTGTCATCCCACAGGTCTGTCCTTTTCAACTTCTTGCCAGCTTTTTTGTTTTTTCTTGACCTCCTCTAGTTCCTGGCTGAACCATCTTGTTCCTCCCATAGATCTTTCTCTTTAAATTCCAATGCCCATTTCAATATCCTTGTTCTGTCCATTGTTTTTATATGCCAAACTATTGTTATCATTTTTCCTCCAGTTGGCAAAAAAAGTTTTGTATTCCATCCTATTCAATTGGGCCAAATTTATGGCCTCATATGTGTGGAGTTTTTAATATTTTGTCTTAACTCTCACAGATGGTTTGTGCTGTGCTTGGCTTGTATATAACCTGTATTGTGTTGGTACAGGTGTCTAAAGATATTGACTAGCTCTGTCAGTTATGCCAAACTGAATAGGTTTCTGAAGACCGAGACAGAATTGGGTCTCAAGATTGTGTTTTTAAATGAAAACAGAATGGTATTTTAGTTAAAAGCAGAATGATGCATAATGTCCAGAAACATAATATTTGTATTTTATGTATTCTTAATTATATTGTCTTCTTACCTGTTTGATATTCCATTTCAGATGATACACACATTGCACAATCTGGCTGATATGCTTGATGCTCGACATGAAGGCATTTCTCCCACACTGCGAGATGACAGACTTCGAGAGGAAACCAAAGCCCTGGAGCAGAAATATATGCAAAAGTGCAATTCTCAGGTTGTAATAGTTCTTTGTCGTTTCAGAGTGGTTTATGGGGTGAAGAATAGTCATCACGGTACACTGAAATCTTCTTGGGCCAATGACTATGTCAAAATAAATTAGAAAAATAATGTTTTCCACTGTATTATAATATTTTCTGTTCAATGAGTGATGGGAAACACAAAAGAATAGTCCAGATTTTGGTGTCCTAGGTTATAACACCATGTAGTTTTATAGATGGGTACTGATGTTCTGGAGAAAGATACTGCCTCCATCTTCAGTGTTGAAGTGTATAGAGTGAGGACTCTGTTGGGTTATGTAGCCAGGTTGCAAGCAATCTAGGCACTCAAACCCATGTGAGAGGTAGATATCTCACTCCAGGCCCAAAGTAGAGTACTTTCTTAATTTTCCATTAAATTGTATAATTTTTAATGGTCTTGCTTAACCTTTATCCTACGGCCCTTTAAACTTAGGTTGTGGCAACGGTACGGAGTTCTTTAAATGGCCGCTATTTGAGATTCGTGAAAATTGTAGTCACTTACTAATTTTGCTCCTATTTCTGCTATTTCTGTGATAATCGAACGAAATAAACGCTGTTTTTTTCTCGAAAGAATATAGAATCAGATATTGTAATTTACAGATTGTATAAAACATGTTAAAATTTTTGCACTGACACCAAAGGAGAATTTTCGCAATTTCTTGTTTCTGAGCAAGAATTCATACGTTCTGGACACCCCTGAATGGAAGTTGCTGATGACGACACTTGTGCATGTCACGGTAACACCGGATGTTGAGTCTAGAGACGTTATCGCAGTCTNATGGGTACTGATGTTCTGGAGAAAGATACTGCCTCCATCTTCAGTGTTGAAGTGTATAGAGTGAGGACTCTGTTGGGTTATGTAGCCAGGTTGCAAGCAATCTAGGCACTCAAACCCATGTGAGAGGTAGATATCTCACTCCAGGCCCAAAATAGAGTACTTTCTTAATTTTCCATTAAATTGTATAATTTTTAATGGTCTTGCTTAACGATAACATGGATAAATAACCAAATACAGATTTAATTATAACTGAAAGATATTGGCAGAATAATGAAACTGAAGTAAGATATGATGATTAGCCACAAGTACGTGTATAACAGGATTTGTGCTTGATTCTTTCAGGTAGCTGCAGCACAGGAAACATTGGCAGGCCTGTCACTGACTGTAACAGAATTAGAAAACAGTTTTAATCTGGGTCGAGATGTTTGGTGGGAGCATCTTTTATCCTGGATTGTTCTTCAAGGGGAAGAAATGGAACTCCTGAGTAGAATAAGAGATGATTTATTAGAGAACAGAATTCCAGGCCAGGACAGTTTGATAAACAGGTAAACTTTCCTCTCACACCCAAAATGGAACTGAAGTGTAAACATACAGAAGAGTTCAACTTGGTGTGCAGAAGGACTAAGGACAAATTTAAAAAACTTTCATCTTCTCAGTATGTAATTTTGACATTTTCTCATGTATGGTGGTATTTGATTTTTAGCTGTAACACAGTTCTGGAATACAAGTGTCCATGGTGCTTCATAGTAGCACTGAAGTACCATATTTGTTGATTTTTCTTGAAATGATCCTAGTTTCATTATACTTCCTGTACCTGTAAACCTGAGCTCCAATAGGCTAATGTAAATTGAACTTGTTTTGAAGTTCTAACCACTGAATGAAACTGCTATCTCTGAGTAAATCATTGAAGGTAGAGGTAAAGTTGTCCCTGTGCATAATTAAACAGCACGCCATGAAGATGTAGGTGATGCAGGTACAGCTTCACACATCTGAATCTCAGCATTAAATGGACATGAGTGGTGACCTTCATGTTCCAGCTGCTTTATCCCTGGGAATGAACATCTGATACACATCAGATAGGTGGGACAGGCTCCAGAGCCTGTCTGGATGCAATGAGGATTAGAGAAATATGTGCCGGATATGTTGTTCATATCATTGTTTTCTGTTTATAACTAGCACACTCAAAGTATAGTCATGTGAATGCATTTATGTGTAGATTAAATGAGCCTTGCTTTTTTTTTTCCAAATACTGCATTTTGGCCTTTCATCTCTGCTTCTGTCATCAGGGAATGACATTATTCCCTGATGATGAAGGCATAGAAGGTCTTTAAAATACTGGCAGTGTTACTCCTGCATGATGGAGGTAGAAAGTTCTCTGAAACTTAGGACTTGTGCTTCACATTGATGCAGCGGGGTATCTTTTAATTATTAATGTAAGCACATTGTGTCATATACAGGGTGTCTAGTATTCGAGGTGTGGAATATGAGCTTGGAACCTGGAGTGATGCAGTGCAGAAGGCCAGAAAGAAGGCTGTGCAGGATTTGCGACAGCTTGAAAGAACTCCTCGGCAAGACTTAGTGAATGGAGCTGTAGATTGTCACTTGCGTCTCAGTAATGCCAATAATAAGAACAAGAAAAAGTATGTAATTCCAGCTACTTTTGTATGTATATCTAATGTAATTGGTTCATTGTGTGTATATGAGTGAATGGATTTTGTCTGTTATCTAGTATTTTGAGCATAACATTTTGATAAGTATACTTGATTCTGTTCTCAGGTGTAAAGATGGGGAAGTTCTGGTCAAATTGGTGCATTATACTGAGGTGATTCCAGTCACTGGAACAATTTGAGTAGATATTTCCCCCACCTTTTCACATGAGAACAGAAACAATTCCAGTTTTTCAAAACTTCATGTTCTGTTTAGAATAGTGGGAAGATAAATAGGGTCCAGTACTGCCAGAAATCTTTAGGGGGGTACTCGGTTTGAACACCAGCTGTGCCCAGCTATCCTGCCTGACTAAGCGTTGTGTGGGTCTGTCCTGCAAAATGCCAAGATAGCACCTTGAAATAGTCTACAGCTGTTCCCTCTGCTTATGCATCCTATCCATGTATCCACCTCACCAGTATGAGAGTCCTCTTTTTTGCGTGCAGAAAAATTATTGTTATCTTGTGATATGTGACACAGGTTAGTTTGGAAAGCAGGTACCAGTATTTCAGAGGAACCTGAACATGCTAGTTCTGTGTGTTGCTTGAAGATGGAGGTTGTAGGTTTTCAGGAAAGCAACAGCAAAGAATGGATTAATATTACTGTTTTCCTGTGGAAAATATTACACACATACATAAATACACACGCACACATTCACGTGCTCTCTCTCTCTCTCTGCTGTATTATGCATTATAAAAAATATTGGTTTGAGTCTTCATTTATTTTTCTACAAAATGATATAATAATTTGCTCTTGCATTGAATTCCTCGTCAAGAAAATTATAAACATATTTTCTTAATTACTTTGTATTAAGCAATTCTGTAGCAATAAGTGGCTGCTGTGTGTGAGTTTTCAAGACAGGACTTCCATAAATCTAACTTTTGCCTTGTGGGTTGGCCTGACTGGTTTGGAGGGGTGGCTTACTCTTCTTCCTAAGTGTATGTGTATGATAAGCTGACTGTGAGAAGCTTCCTTCATGGCTTGATCCTTTACTCACTTGGCCTGTCTGTAAGTAGGGTGTTCGTTGTGTGTTATAAAAATAAGGAAAGTAAGGTACAAAGTATAAAGTTTAGGTTGAAGTTTTTTGACAATATTCATGACGGAGTTAGCCATAAGTTAAATTAAAATTCATTACAGCAGTGTACAACACTTCTTTTAATGGATATTTTGGATGTTGTTCTTCATTCCATCTTTCTCAAACCACAGCATTTTGGATACTCTATGTTTCATTTGGCAACAGGATAAAGTAAGGAATCTTTAGTCTTTTGGGCCCCTTGCAGAGTTAGTCTCAAATCCTGAATGATGTCTCTTAATCAGAGCAATACTGTACACTATATCCTGTAACATGAAGAAGGAAACTGGATCAGTTTCTGAAACATTGATAGGGGTTTGTGTTGATAATTGGATTTATTGAAGGCTTATAACTTGTGACTACAATTAACTGTAATAGTCTCACTGATTTACACACTAAAGATCACTGTAACTACAGCACACGTCTCTGGCTTCACTAGTCATTGCTTGGTAACAGCTCCAAACAGTGGAAGTTGCTGTAGTTCCATGCTCACATCCTTGCTGGCTGGTGACTGACTCACAACTAACTTACCTCACTTGTCATCACTGTATAGCCTCAGCATGGACCACATAGCAAACATTGCTTCCAACAGCTCCTCTATTGTTTCATGTTTACTTATTGCAGCAGACACGTAGTTACTGTGCCTTTTCCTAGCAATGGCCACATCTACACATTCCACTATTCCGGTTTTTCATCCATCATGTCACAATAGGTAGAAAAAACTGGAACAATTGTCAGCATCCAAAATGTCAATCATAACAGTTAGACTTTGTTTCGATTGTTCTATCATGAAAGGTACCCAGAGTACACATACAGTTGGTTACAGGTGCAAGCTGTGCATTTGTGAGACGTATCTCAAGAGCTACGAGTGCCTGGTGTTTGCGGTGAGCAAGAAACAGACTGAACATAGCATGGTGGGTAATGTTCTGCTCCTGGGACAGCTGAACCAAGGCACATGGAAGCCCTGTGAAATGGAACGAGTACTTCGAGGTTTGTGTTTCTCATACCAGAAATTTATACATTAAGTAGCATGACCAACATATTTTGGAAGGAACGTGTTCTTGAAAATGAGCATCACAAAATTCCATAACATAAATTTTATATTTACGAGTATATTGACTCCTATATTATAAGTGGAGGTATGTTCGTATAGGAATTTTTCAGAAGCATGCAATATTAAGTGCAGAAGCTTAAGCCTAGATAGAAGAATACAACTTTTGCCATTTTTAAATGGAAATAGGCACTCTCAACACTTAGCGTGTGTGTGTGTGTGTGTGTGTGTGTAGATCCTAATTGTCACTGTGTAGGCTATCTTAGGCCTGCCACACACACCCCTTGCTCATTTTGTCTGTAAGGCTAAGGGTAAGACCAGATGTATAGAGGGAGACAGTTACATGCATAATTGGCATGTACCATTAATTGCTTGATCTGAATGAAGTCTACCACATTTTAAGAGCCTGTAGGCAAAATGGTGAGCAAGAAGGAACATGTGTGGCTAGTGCTAGTTTCAACATTTAAAATGAATTAGGATTTGAAGCTTTCACTCATGCTTCATATGTGGCACAAATCTGGCAAGACTGGAGTCTTCCAGAATTCCACTAGATGAATTCTCCTAAGTAGTTTGAAACATGATATGAATTTATTATGTAATAAAGGGTCAAGCCTGTAGTTCTTCCTTTTCCACATTATTCAGCCATTTTGACTGACAATCATACAATTAATTTTTACCGGTCCTACATTGATGTATAAGCAGGAAGATGGTACTATGCACCATTCATAAGAAACAATAATGCACCTCACGATTTGTAAGCACACTTCAAAACCGTCTTTCCAAGAGGAAAAGTGAGAAAAGTAAAATCAGTTTCAGTTTACTGATTCAGTTACTCCTGAAAGAGATTGATATGTATCACGTAGAAATATAATTTCTAAGTATTTCAAGTAGTGCGGTATGTTGGGGTTATGATAGTTCAGGCAGCATAACAAGTAGGCCACAACTGGACAGCTGAGCAATTGGGGTTGGATTCCTAGCAGGGGCAAGAGATTCTTTTCATCTGCAGGATCCTGACCAGCTTTCGTGCTCACCGAGCCTCCTATTCAGTGTTACCTGTGGTCATTCTCTGAGTGTGAAGCAGCCAGGGCCAAAAGCTGACTACAGGCCTCCATGTAATGCCAAGGTTAAGAATGCATGGGACTATACCTCCTCACACCCATACATCTTCATGGTGCTTAGTTACATACAGCAATAACTTTACCTTTCTGTCTTTTTAAAATCTCCATATATGGGCTAGCTCTATCTATTGGACCCAACTGAGTAGGTTTTACCTGAGGATGGGGACAGAATGCAGTCTCTGCAACATTGTGTGTGTGGCTGGAAGGATTAGGTCAATTGAAAAAATCCAGTGACCCCATCAGGACTTGAACCCATGACCTTCCAGCTTGTAGCATAGTGCCTCAACCAACTATGCTACCGCATGCCCCTAAAAATGGACAAGACGATGGATAACGTCCAAAAACATATTACTTCCACTGATGAAATTACATAAAAAATGGTGATCAGTCATGGGAATAAGTGGCACAAGAATGGCTGAAGGCTGGACTGAAAACATTATATACGAGCGGAATAAGTAACTTATGGATTGTTGGATCAAACACACTGAAAAACACGTAAATTTAAATGTCTCAGTAATTATATTTTCTGTTACAAGTAGAAAATATCACCATAGATATGCAGTTCGATCATGTGCAAAACTTGCGTGTGTTTCCATTAATATATTAATTATTTACTTTGTTTCTTAAATTCATATCCTGGCATGTGCAGTATTGGTGGCATTTGTTCGAGGGAAACGGTCTAACAGGGAGTGTCTGGAAGATGGCAGTCAACATTTGAAACTCCTGGATGCGATCAAGAAAGAATTTAAGGTAAGTTCCAGACATCACATTCCATAGAAAAGAAGATTCAATATTTGTGCCTGCAACATCTGTACTGAGTAAGCAAGATGGTTCAAGAAGTAACATATCTGATTTATATATGGGAGGTAAATGAGTGAAATCTGCCAGGGCACCTACTATCCAAACTGATATTTGTCATCATTTTCCTCAGTCCTACAAGGAATTTCTGGAGTAGTACCTCCAGCTAGGCCACAACTGCTTCAATCCAGATTCTTTCCACTTCATTCACTAATAATGCTGCCATTTAGCGCTATGTAATTTGAGTTACTGACTGCATCATTAAACAAACCACAGGTAAAATAAGCATCTGTAGTGTCTGGTGTATTTATACTACTGAACCCCAGGACAAAAATAAGTTTTGAATATTACTGTCTTCTTAATAATGACACTGTAAAATTTGGTAGAGTCTTGCTGATGTTTCAGAGGAAGATACTGGTTCCATCTTCTGTCCTGAAGATGGAGGCAGTCTGTTCCTGCGAAATATGGATGGTTATCCTCCAGCCTACATGGCATCATGTCCCAATCTTCATAGAAAAGAAGTGTTAAAATTCTGAATCCAAAAACAATCTATAAAGTTTAAATTTAATTGTTATCTCTGTGTTCCTTTGGGCCATCTTAATCTGATACACATATGAAAGCAATTTCATCCTTTAACCTGTAAATACATACACAGTGAGCTGTTGATTTTCTGTGTTACTGGAGCTGGAGAAGTACCATGGATAATTAAAAACAGTGTATAATACAAAAATCTGGTACGAACAATCCATGCTGCATTGAATTCTGAATATGAGCTGTAAGAGAGAGGTTTTGTTGCTGTTACTACTAAACCTTGAGACATTTCCTTCAGCAGAAGAAAACAAACCCTGTTGAATGGTAGTAAGCCAGCATGAAACACAGTAAAATAATAAATTAGAAAGTTATAATAGGATGAGAAGATGTACAATCTAATGCATATTATTGTGAAACAGATATGAGGGAGAGTCATTAAATAGATTGTAAATGGAAGTAAAACAACTGTAATATAATCATATGTAACAGGTTTTGTATGTGTATCACTAGGAAGCAGCACAGTCCAGCTTCATGACAGATTCAGTAGCAGATGCACATGCACATGCACATGTTCTGAGGCTGGTTAGACTAGTCAGAATGGTGACCATGCTAGAGGAGTGTAATACTGAAGAGCAACATTCTGTTGTATGGTTGTATGCTTTTATGGGCAAAAGGACTTGTGCAAAGGATATTCATAAAGGAACGTTTTATGTTTACCTTGGGAAATGTTTATCACATAAAGCGGTTCATGACTGGGTCAAGAAATTCTCTTGAGGGCGTTAAAAAATTGCAGATGATGCCCAACCAGGTATGGAAGTGGAGGAGACAAGAGTCAAAAGTCTTCAGTGCTGCGAGTTTTGACACATTGGTAAAGCAATGGGACAAGTGTATTAATGTTGGTGGAGGATATCTTGAGAAATAGATGATTTTTCCAGGTTCGAAAATCGCCACGTTTTGCATTTTACATCCATTTGTGACCAATTTACTCTCTCATCATCTAAAAGTAAGTAAAGTAAAGGCATCCCTGTAACAGGCCCTGGGGGCCCATAGGGTTGTGAGATGTTGAGGTTCCCACATTTTCTAGACAATCGGCTCATAGATTGCGGTAAGTTTGTCAGCCTTACATGCCGGTCGCCCTTTACCCCCAAGAACATTTCAAGAATATTCCTGGTACTCATTTCTGCTAGAGGCTGAGTCTACCCCAGGGACAGAGTGTGGCTGGAAGGATTAGGCAATTGAAAAAATCCAATGACCTCATCAAGATTCGATCCCGCAACCTTCCGGCTCCTATATATTAAAAGGTAAAGTTGTCCCTATGCTTAATTAACTTATCACCATGTCATGGAGATGTATGGGGTAGTGGAGGTATATCTCCACCATTCTTGGCCTCAGCACCAGGTGGGGTTGAGTGGTCAGCTTCACGTCCCGATTCTTTACCCCTGGGGAAAGAACCCTATCCGTTGGATAGGATTCTGGATGGGATCCAGAGCCAATCAGGATACTGAGGAATAGAGAGAAGTCTGTTGCCCCTGCCAGGAATGGAACCCTGGCCATCCAGCCTGTAGCCTCTTGCTGTACCCATTGAGCTATATTGGATATCTTCGCAGATACATATTACTGAAACATATATAATGGGTGACACATCATTATGGGAAGCTATTAGTCAGTACCTAGGGGATTATAAAATTCACACACTTAATCCACAAAACAGGCAACTGAGAGTGCACTGTATTTCTCTCTAAAACTCTGTTCATGTCTTGGACGGTCATTTTTTTTTACATTTGTTTTTGCTGCAGAATTTCTCAAAACATATTAGAACCATAGTATGGTTGGTAGAATATCTCCATATTATGGAACAGAGACATTCCAAAATATGCAAAACTACAATTTATAAAGTATATATTAAATTGATATTAACATTTAACACCAAAATATGGATTCTTAATGAAAAATATCTCAGCAGTTAACTTAATTTTTTAGAAATATTGAGAGGGAGAAACATGAGGTGACAGAACAGTTGTTGACTTCTTGGACATTGTCCATCATCCTGTTTTTTATTTGAAAACAACGTTTTGTAACTGGACTATGTCTCTGTCCACAGGTAAAAGCCTGTTCAGTTGGGTCCAATTGATAGACTTAGTCCTTTTCCCCAGACAGAATTAGAAATTAAATTTGTAGAAAACAAGTCAGAATTCAAAATTTGTTAATGGAAATAGAGGAGAAACAACTGTAATGGTTTTGCCATGTCAGAAGAAGGGATGGAACAATGATGCTGGTAAGGGCATTGATATTATATCTTAAAAGTCCTAATGAATGACCCAGAACAAGATGATTTGGTCAGGTACTATAAGATGGCAAGAAGAGTGGATAGAGCTGGCCCAGAAGATTACTTATGACTCTTTGCTGAAATAAAATAAATTCAGATTGTATTATGTACAGTTCTTTTCTGGAGTTAATTATAAAAATGAAATTGTTTATACATAGAATACAATGTATGATATTTTTATGCTTATTTTTCAGCAATTGCGGTTGGTTTGGACACAGTTACGAGACCAAGTCTCGGCTCAAGATGAGCTAGATATGGCCAAGATGAGACTGCGAACTCGGTTTCCAGATGAACCGGTTCCTCAGTCTAATAAGAAGCAGAACCCTCTGCAACAGCTAAGCTCCAACATTGGCAGTGCTGTTGAAACAATCCACATTATTGAGAAACATCAGGTGTGTATGACAGTTTTGAATAGTGTGTGATTGCAGTAACCATGTGTTTGCCTGATGATGGCTTTAAAAGCCAAAACATGTAGCTAAGGTAATGTTGACCTAGACCGTTTCATTGTTATGCTGTGACGGATTCCAATAAAGAATTGTGTATAATAAACACAACAGGATGCACAAAATAAAAAATATCCTCTTGAATCAAAACACCTGCAGTGCCACAAGTGCCATGGCTTCAGCCCATATTCAGTATGTGATATCACTTGCCAACGGTTAAGACTGTGTGATTACATTTTCTAGCAAAGGTATACAATGAATTAATAAGTATCAAGGTGTCATGAACATTAATTGTTGTTTCAACCACTATTGTACTAAAACTGGGTACATATACAGAAGGTAAGGAATTCCTCATACCAATTGCCAGATGTATAATAAATTGAAATTCACTAAATACAATTAAAAAATACATTATTTACTGTGGGATTTAGCTTGGGTCAAGAAAGGGTAATCACGAAATGCAGGAACACTAAATATGTAATGTACTATCAAATGGTGCAGGCAGCACAACAATAACAATAATACGCAATAAGACAAAATAGATATGATGGGATCTGTTCCATCTCATTAAGTTTTAGTGTTAATGTTGTGTTCACTGCCCCATTTGAAAATACGTTAAGACACACTACAGGATGCATACTTTGAAAGGTATTAAATATGATTTCACTGTTTCTCAGGAAATATTGTACACTGAGTTTGTTGTTTTATATGCAGGTTGGCGCCCATGAGACCAGGTTGGGAACAGAAAGGATTGTAGCTCAAGGGGAGCTACGCCGAAAGACAGGACAACTCCTGTATCTAGAAAACCTGCGAAAGAGTCAGGGTTTGGATAGCAATCCTGACCCCTGCCCAATATGTCAAATTAACCTAGGAGACAAGGTAGATCAGTAGATATATCTTTGGTTGTAATACAGTACATATGAGTAGTGTCTGTGCAAGTGAACAATTTAAATTCATATAGAAGGGAAAACACTGATGAGTTAACTGGAATCAATAGGTAAGGTAGGCAAAACGCATAACATATAGGCCACACATTGCATGAAAAGTTGTATATTTGATTCATAATGTGATCTTAGGTTGGTGCATATAGTGTGATATGTTAAGTACCAACATTTCAGTGAAACCTACTGCTTGCATATCTGTCCCTGAAGAGTGAGGCACTTTATTCCTCTGAAAACTTTATAAACTTCTACCAGACTGCACGGTGTCATAAGCCAGAAGACCACAATATGAATTTTTACTCCCATGAAGTCACCTGAGATTGAACCATGTATGTAAATCCCTTTGTAGTATTTAGCTGGAAATACAGAATCTTGGACATGTACACGTAAGTGGGAAAGTCTCCATATGGTACATAATTATTTTTTTATTTTTTTTTTTTAAGTTTTTCTTTATTATTACTAGTGGGGTGGGACTAAGTCCCTTGTACTGCGGCCACTTCTGGCCTATTGTACCAGCCCCAGATGATAGGTGAGGGTGATTGAGGAGCAATTGGTGGAATGAAGATTGGCAGGGGAAACTGAAGTACTTTGAGAAAACCTCCCCCCCCCCACTTTGTCCACCACAGATCCCACTTGACGAGAACCAGGATCGAACCCGGGCCGCCACGGTGGAAAGCCAGCGACTAACTGCTTGAGCTATGGTGCGTCCATATATTTATGTTACTCATGTTTGGTCAAGACCATGACAGCGTAATACTGTAAAGGTATCTCTTGATTCACAAAGGTATCTTGCCATGAAAGCTGTTCATAAGGTGAAAATTCATAAATCGAAAATGAAATTTCCAGACTTAGAAGTATAAGTTGTTCATTATAGCAGAAATTAAATTTATTAAGTTAAAAAATGGATTCTAATTAACATACTGTAACGTATTGTCGTAGCAAAAATTTGTAAATTGAGTGTTCATAAAATGAGGGCTACCTGCATGGGCTGAATCAGATAAATCTTCCATGATCGTCATGAGCAAAAGTTGAGATGTAGGAACTGAGAGGCAGGGAGTAAGGAAGTGAAAGGAGCTACCATGAACAGGGCAGGATATAGGCACCACATTCATCTAGTCCTGTGCTGACATCATCATTTAAATATACAGTGCTCTCAGTTCCCAGACTGTTATTGTTGTAAGTACCTCAGTGAAAGAAGATGAGATTGGAGGCCAAGATCACACTTCTGCAAGCCAGTTGCATCAATCTGCCACATGACACTGCGCTGTGAACACGTATTGTTTTTACATGAGTGCTTTTTCAAATTTGTGTTTCACTTTGTCTGCGATGGGTGGAAAAATCGAGCAACGTGTCTGCATCAAGGTTTGTGTGAAACTTGGTAAATCCACTACCGAAACCCTTCAAATGCTTTGTGAGTCTTTTGGTGAACATTCTTTAAGCTGGACAGTGGTTTTTGAATGGCGTTCACATTTCAAGGCCAGTCGAGTGTCAGTTGAAGATGATGATTGTTCAGGGTGACCAAGCACCAGCAAAATGACAGAAAATGTTGAAAAAATTCAAGAACTCATCCACAAAGACCATCGCCAAACAATCCTTGAACTCGCAGACACTGTTGGGATCAGTTATGGAGTTTGCCAGGAGATCTTGAAAGAAAATTTGAACATGCGCTGCATTGCCATGAAGTTTGTTCCCCGACTCTTGGCAAATGATCAAAAACAGCAGCACGTAAACATGTGTCTTGACCTACGGAAGAAAGCTAACGAGGGCCAAACTTTTATCTCTAGGATTATAAAGGGTGACAAAAGTTGAATTTATGGTTATGATCCAGAAACAAGGCAACGGTCATCACTGTCGAAGAACCCACAATCACCAAGAGCAAAAAAGGTGTGGCAGGTCCGGAGTTCAACAAAGACCATGCTCATTGTTTTTTCAATGTGAAGGGGATTGTCCACCGCAAATTTGTTCCTCCTAACACTAGGGTCAACTCTGACTTTTACTTTGATGTTTTGAGATGCTTGAGAGATAATATGCGACAAAAAAGACCAGAACTATGGCACAACCACAGCTGGCTCCTTCATTATGACAACGTGCCCTCCCACACATCCCTGAAAACCACATTTTGTGACTAACAACAAATGGTTATCGTTCCCCATCCTCCTTACTCACTGGACTTAGCAGCTACGTATGTTGATGGAAGCATGGGAGAGGTGGAGTACTGGAAACTACCCAGTTTTTCCCATCTGCACCTTGGCACTTTTATTTGACGTGTTCAGCATATGGAAACAGTGTAATAAGGTTTCACTCTGTATAATGAATGTTTTGCATATTTATTTATTGTTTATTTAACAGCACTGTCTGAAGCTCAGAATATGTAGTGTTGAATGGTGGGATGGTTAGTGAATAATAAGTTGAAAAAGATGTTGAAGGGAACTGGTTGTGGCCTAATTTAAGATTTTTTCTGGAAATACTAACAAACACCACAAACAACATTAGTCAGTACAAATATGTTTCTGGGCATTATCCATTGTCCTATCTTTATCTAAAAACACTGCCCCTTTTATTTTTCAGAGATTGGATTCTGTGTCTGTCTTTAGGTAAAAACTACTCAGTTGGACGCAGTTGATAGGTCTGAGTAGGTTTTACCTGAAGACGAAGACAGAATCCAGTCTCTGAAACGTTGTATTTTGAAAAATCAACAGGACAGTGCTTTAGACAAAGACAGGATGACGGATAATGTCCAGAAGCATAATATTTGCACTGATGTACCATCGTTACAGACTGTTAGATCTTATTAACTTTAGTGAGAATAGCCAGATTCCTTGCCAAGATTTGAAATAAAGACCTCCTGAATACGAAGCAGGAGTGGTACCTACTTAACTTCAGTGTTCAGTAAACCTATTTTCATTATGAACATATTCCTGTTTTGCTATAGAAAGTTTTCTGAACTAACACAGATGACAGAAAATTGTTGGAAAGGAAGTTACAGGGGTAACTCTGTTGCAGTGGAGTGTACTGCAGTGCGGACACTGTTACTGCATGGACTGTGTGCGCTACATGGTAGACCAGAGCCGCGGGGGACGAAAAGTCAACTTGAAATGTCCAATATGTCGTGAAACCACGCAAGAAGATGGCATATCCTACGTCAATCTCAGTTGTAAGGTGTACGAGTCCCAGAAGGATGGGACAGCTATAACTGTGCGAGGCTCACATTCGACTAAGGTGGAGGCAGTGGTGCACCGTCTCTTGGCACTCCAAGCAGAAGATCCAGATGTCAAAGCACTCGTTTTCTCTACGGTATTGCTCTTGATGTTTGTTATATTGGTACAGTATTTTACTATTCCATGAGGATTAAATGATAAGGTTGGATTCTTTAATTTTTTGGCAGTGGGAGAAAGTGCTGGATGTCCTTGCTGATGCATTGACAGAGAACAGAGTTTCCTTTTCTCGGCTCCAGCCTGGCCTCAAACATCAGGAAATATTAGAGAATTTCAAGGTAAAATCATGTGTTTATATTGTGTAGGAATTTGGACTGGGTTTGTCTGGCTTGAGATTAGATCCAGGGATGATTTCTTATGAAGAGAATAATGAACCTTCAGGTTCCATGAAAGGCAAGAAATTTCTGTACCATATTGGGTACAGCAGTACCATTCAACTTCACTGCTTTCCTAGCTAAAGAAGCTCATTTTAACATATATTATGATGAATTATTTCACATTGCACTGATTTTATCAGTAAAGATATGGAAGTGACTGTGCAGATGAAGAAAACTCAAAAGTATGGTAAGTTTAAGTGTTTGTGGTGGACAAAGTGGCGCTGGGGCGGGTTTTCTCCGAGTATTTTGGTTTCCCCTGCCAATCATCATCCCACCAAATTCTCCATCATCATAATCACTTGAGGCAGGCTACAATAGGCCAATCAGTGGTTACCATGCCGAGTGGACCCAATTGGACTCCACCCCCCACTAAGCAAATAAAAATTAAAAGGCAAAATTTTGGAATTTCTTTTTGTTAGAAAATAAATGTTAAAACAAATTGTATATTATTTTCCCTTTATATTGCAGTATTTTGTGAATGGCAAAATTAATTTAATTGAAAACCTAATTGTGCTGCCTGGTCATGGCTATTGCATGCCTGAGGAACAGCAGTAAATAAGTATGGAGCATGGTGGAATGATGATTAACAAGGGAAAACTAAAGAACTCAGAGAAAAACATACTTCATTGCTAGTTTGTCCACCATGAATCTCACCTGAGTCATAAACCTATGAGACATTAAGTAAAATAGATTCTTTATCTCAGAAACTGATTGTACTGCATTGAAAATCAGAATACTATAAAAGTTTTAATGAAATGTTTTTTGATTCCAATTCTGCTTTTACAGAAAAACAAAGATAAAGCTATCCCTGTAACAGGCCGTGAAGGCCCATACAGTTGTGAGACGTTGAGGCTCCCACATTTTCTGTAGACATTTGGTTCACAGATGGCGGTAAGGTTGTCAGCCTTACACGCCAGCTGCCCTTTACCCCCCAGGAATATTCCTGGTACTCATTTTTCCTAGAGGCCGAGTTGACCCCAGGGCCATAGTGCGGCTAGAAGGATTAGGTATATTGAAAAAATCAACCTCATTGGGACTCAAACTTGCGACCTTCCGGCTTGTAGCATATTGCCTCAGCCAACTACGCTACCGCATGCCCCCTGCCTTTACAGAAAAATGCAGTAACATATCCTGTCCTAGCCAGAGGTAGTTAGAACTGGATGAACAGTTCATCCCCTTTTATCAAGAGGAACTGCCCATGCAGTTGAGTTTTCTAACTACAATGTAGCAGGTGGAACCCATTTATTGTATTTGCTTGATCTAAGATTAGATTTTACAGTGGTATATAATGTAATTTGTGATGGAAATGTTACCAACCAATTATTCATATTTGGAAGGCCACACCCATCCAGGCATACAGCTGACTGAATTTATTTAAACCTCCCTTTACTAGTCCAGCAGATTAATGTAGAAACATTTCATATAATACAGTGTGCAATACAGTTGAATACATTTCATTACCAGCAGCAAATATTCCAAAGATAGAGTTTTATTCTGAAATATGAGTTTCTCACAACATTAACTACAAAGAGTGCTGTCTTCCAGGATGTAACACTGTGTAGTTTTGTAAAGGAGTTCTGTCCTAAGATGGAGAGAGCAGAGTCCAGAACATTGGCACCTACCTATCAGACTACACTGTCACACCCAAGAAGATATTAATCTCTTGAGTTTTATTATTTGTCATGTGTGATGTTACTTTATTGATGCTGAACACTATAATATTATGAAACATGTAAGTATTTTGCATTGACTGGAACTGTAATATCATGTTTTGATGCAGTTTGCTTTTCATTGTTCTCTGTATTAATACACCCAACCAATAGAGTGATCATTAGTGTTACTGTGTTCTGTACAGCATGAAGATGCATCAGTTTTTTGCAACCAGCGGTGGGTACTGAACTAATCCTGTTTAGGAATCTGTTCTAGTCTTTGCAGAATGCCTGGGCTGCATGGATTATGAAAGTTTAATGTGTCCAAGTCTGAATGTGTTAACAGGACAGCAAGTCACAGGTGACTGCACTCCTTTTGCCTATTCGATGGGGTGCCAAGGGGCTGAATTTAATAGAAGCAACTCATGTATTATTGGTAGAACCCATTCTCAACCCAGCCGATGAGCTGCAGGCTATTGGTCGTGTCCATCGCATTGGTCAAACCCGGCAAGTATTACAAATTCAGGCAGTATAGGTAAACATTCCTACAGGGGACATGTGTGCTACTAGCAGTCCAAGTATAGATCGTAGCCTTTCCTATCCTCAGGCTTCCGTCATTGTAATTTTCCCATATGGCTCTACTGTTGGAAGTTATCCACCACCATCTTTTGAATTTACCATGTCATTTCTAGTTGTCTGCAAGTAGGAACAGCAGGTGGCAGGAGACAAATTTTCTTAAACAGCTTGTGTGCAGTTCATAGTGGCTGTTCAATTCAAGACATGAAAGGTCTGCTTGTTTGAACACTAGGATCAGAGGTAACAAATCCCACTGGAGGCATGGATGTCTGAATTTTTTCTGTTTTTGTTTTCCTGTGTAGGTAGTGTCCTTGTGATGGGCTGATCCTCTGTCCAAGGAGTCCTACCAACTGTCCATGAGATTTAAATTTCAGAACTAATTTTGAATGGGTACAGGCCAAGAGCCTAATGTGTCAAAGTAGAAAAGAAGAAATAGCTTATGTAGATGTTTTCATGTTGTTTTCCTGTTTTAGCTATAGGAGTGACATGGCCATTAGAAGAATGGGAAAGGGTTAGTTTCAGACCTGGGGAATTAAAAATACTAAAGTCAGAATATATTAATCTTATTACCAGGTATCTACTCAAACTAAGGACACAGTAATTCTCTGTGTAGTAATTTTACTACTAGTGATTTTGTAACTCATCATTCACATTTAATGTTACTCTGAGGAAGAATGATTTCAGACAGTACATCAGGGAAAATCTTAAATAATTTTTGGACACTGCTGGAATACTTAAGCAGGACCATAGAAACTGAGTTTAAATAAGGATAAGCCATAAAGCTTAAGGCATATGTAAACTGATATAAGACATTCTTGAATGACTGTAGATACTTTGGCTAGGAACACCATCATCTGGCACACTGGGTGAGTTCTCATGTGCAGACGTTCTTTTATATGTTCAGGAAAACCGTGGTTCATCGATTTCTTATACGTGGAACAGTTGAAGAGCGAATGCATGCAGCAGTCCAAAGTGGGGTAGAAAAGTGGAGTGGTGACAAAGTGACACTGCGCCAGTTACAAGATTTGTTTGCGTCTCCTTGTGAAGAGTCCAGTAACAATCTGGACAGTAGTACCAACAGTGACAGTTCTACCACACTATCTGAAAACATTACTTCTGCTCCAGGTACCAGTTCATGCGTCCAGCAGGTCACGAAACAGTAAGTCATCCAGTACTGTCACTGCCGAATCTCATGGTGATAGTAACGATACTGTTGTTACATTGCAGAGGACAGACGTCAGAAATGACAATAACCCATACCCCTTCATTATGCCACTCTCAGGCAATATCTCAGCAGTATCAACCACAGAACCAGAAATAATTTCCAGTGTTGATGTGACATCAGTACCAGTTTAAGGTGGCAATGAAACCAATGCTGGTACTTGAAGCTAGCAGTTACAGCTGTATGTGGTGATTTAATTGTAGTGGAATTGCAGTTTTTGCCTGAATATAAGCCACCTTCAGATATAAGCTGCATCCCCAAAATCATATGGTTTCCAAATGTAAAAAGCATTTTGTGAACTTACATCATTACTTGCAACAGTAAGAACAGCTGAGCATAAGCAAATTTCATGTTATTCTATGTAGTTTCATACATTCCGTATTCCGTATTGAGGGGGTGGGTTTCCCTGTGCACTTAGACCGGTTACTAGTCCATTGTGCGTCCCCCTTTAATTTCTATTGTCTCCATACCCTACCGGTACTGGTGCTTACTATCAGCCCCTTTCTGCCAGCGAGGTTCCAACCTCTTACTGGCAGTGGTATCTAATAGTTAGTCCCTTTCTGTCAGCAAGGTAGTTTCATACATTACTTAAAATATATTAATTTCAGGTTTGGGGTTGACCCGAGACTATAACATTGTGAGGAAGTCAGGTACAGCACATTTCCAGTTGGAGTCACATATTTGGTACCACAGATTTGAATCGAGTTTGTGTAGCTGCAGCTAAGTGTGATCGCTTGGTCATAAAAGCAACCTTTACTGGATTTAGACAGTCTGATGACAATTTGTTTTTCATTGTATAAGCTGCACCCTGATTTCAAGAGCATTGATTTTTAGAAGAAGATGTTTCTTGTATTCAGGCAAATGCTGTTAAGGTATAATGAAGAAAATGAAAAGAAAACACTATGTTTACAATTATAATTATTTTTGACTCTGTCCATTAAATGTGATTATTAAAACAAGTGTGTTTCGAAAGTGGTTCTGTGTCTGTCTGCAGGTGAACAGAAGGGCCCCTGGGTAGAAGAAACCATAGTTTCATGGATTAGTGGGCGCAGTGAAGTAACTTCTCTTTTGTATCCTGTTTATCTGAAGACATAAATAGAACCAGTCCCTGAAATGTAGTGGTTATAATGTCACGTGTTAATGACTAGACATATGCATGGACCATGTAGCAAAAACTGCTTCCAACAGTTCTTCTATTATTGCATGCATATCCATTGCCACGGACACATGTTTAGTGTGCCATTGCCTAGCATTGGCCACATATGCATATTCCACTATTCCAGCTTTTCAGCCATCATGTCACAATAAATATGAATGATGGAAAAGTTCCAAGGTAGTGGTTTAAAATGTGTGTCACACCAAACTGAGAGATCACTTGTCACAGTGTTCATGGTAAATTTAACAATTTTCAACGGACAATTTTAATATTTAACAAAGAGTCAAAATGCGTTAAAGGTTGTGAACATGATAATCTTGAGGAAGACTCAAAGGACATTTTCAGTTTTTCAGTGTAGTGTAAGGGTGCATGTATTTCCTTACGTACATTTTTATACATGAGCCAGTGAACAGTAAGTGAAATAATTCACCAAAAATAATTTTATTTTGGTGATTTCCTAGACATACTTAAGCTCTATTTTGCAGTATACTCATATCCTTCATGAACTATGAATTGTTCATGATAGAATTTTTTTACGTACTGGTATAGTCATTATTTTTATGCAATAAAATGGCATTTTGTATCTGTTGATATGCATCAGTAATGTGATATATTATGGCAGTTATATTAGGTGGTGCAAATCATATTACTTTATTAAAGTATGGTAAAACTGAATAGCTTTCCCAATTTGAATGAAACACTAAGTTGTGTAAGACATGTTTAAATGCGCATTCATGATGATTTGTTACACTGAAAAATATTTTCCCTTAAGAATGTTAAAAATAGGCTTTTCATTTATAATCACTCACTTTTTTTGTTTAAATTTATTTTGAATGGGACCATGTTTTCTTGAATAATGGCTTTAACCTGTCTTTTCTGTGTGTCTGTGGTCAATTGAATGTTATCTTGTGATGTGAGAGGCCACACATTTTATGTTCTTTATCGCAGTAACTCCAGGAATTGAAACAGTTCTCTCTTGCTTTTCTACATTGACTGTTAGGGTTCATTCCAGACATGATAATCTAATGGATATCTGTGGAATTCTGTGGCCATTCTGTGGATTTGACAAATTCAGCCATAGCATCATGCAGCATTTTCAAAGAGTAAGTAATATGAATGTAAAAAAGGCCTATTTTAACATTCAGAATGCAAAACGTTTTTGTGTAAGAAATCAGGCGGAATGAAAAAAGATTTTAATACACGTAGCGTAGTTGGTTGAGGCACAATGCTACAACCTGGAAGGTTGTGGGTTTGATTCCTGATGATGTCACTGGATTTTTCAATTGGCCTAATCCTTCCAGCCGCACTATGGCCCTGAGGTCACCTCAGCCTCTAACAGAAATGAGTACCAGGAATCTTCCTGGGGGTAAAGGGCAGCTGGTGCATAAAGGTGACAACCTCACTGCCATCTGTGAGCTGAGTGTCTAGAAAATGTGGGAGCCTCAATGTCTCACAACCCTTTTGGCCTCCACGGCCTGTTAAGGGATAGCTGTACGTTTTATACCTGTACGTTGGAATGTTATAGACAACTTATATGAGTTTCATTAAGATATGCAGAATTATTCACTTTTATCACTCTTGCAGAAAGTGTATTTTTTTTTGCATCTCCCTGTGTGTAGTTTAATTTTGGTGCTGGGAGTCTGCAATAAGAGTAGAAGGATCTCTTCTATATTGTTTTTAAGTAAGTAGCATTTATATAACTTAAATTTTTTCCTTAGTGTGTCTAATTTGCTCAAGTTTGGCTGCTGTCGTATGATATGTGCAAACAAGAAAGTCATCTTACACCACTGCATTGGTGTAATGACTCTCAATTTTTCTACAGTAAAATATTGTTTTAAAGATTTGCCACTTTAAGGCTGTCACCTGTATATCATTATGTGGACCCACAGCTTTGGGTTAATCCATAAAAATAGTCGTAAATGACTTCAACATTAATTTATAACCAGTTTTCTCACCCATCCCCCCCCCCCTACTGGAAAGAAAACTGTACTCATGTTTGTGAGGTACCAAAATGTGTCTTCCATGACACCAATCTGAGCATACTAGCTTAAGGAGTAATGCTAACTTATATGTGGGTGATGCTTGGTTCAGATCATGGCTTGAAGGTCAGCTATGCTGATAATTTTCATGTTTTTCCCAGTTTCTCCAGGGAAATGCTAGGAAAGCACTTTAAAATAGGCCACAGTAATTTTCTCCCCCCACCCCCTATCCTTTCGAGGTCGCCATATGTAGTCATCCATTCATACACTCTTAACACCACAGAAACGTGGTTGATAGAGCATCATCAAAGAACCATCACATTCTAATGCTTTATGAGTGTGGTTCTTTACCACTTCAAACCCAGTTGTAATTTGTGTAACCATGCAACAGAATCCAAAAAAACATTCACTCGTATACGTATTCTGTTGATCTGCTCTGTTAAAACGTTTCTGTATGCGTTTGGTAAATGTATGTGTAAAATGCCCAGTAGTGTTACAGTATTTTATTAAATTATAGATACCTTTGAAAATATTGTATTGAGAATTCATGTGTGTTCTTTTCCTGAGGATATATACATATCTTATTTCAACGTTTCAAGGTTTCCCCTGAGGTAAAACAAGTGTGTTATTTATATTATGATGTCTGAATTACTTCTCTTCTTCCTTTCTTAAATAAATAAGCACCTGATAGAAGTGAAATGACAGAGTTTTTTTTTTCTCATACAATTATTATGATGAGTGAAACTAAATCCCTTGGTACTTAGGCCATATATGGGTCCATTGTAGCAGCCCCAGATGATTTATGAGAGTAATGAAGCATCTGGTGGGGTGAGAATTGACAGGGGAAACAGAAATACTGAAGAGAAACCTGCCTGAGTCCTCCACAAATCCTGTGTGACCTGACCTGAGATTGAATCTGGGATGCTATGGTAAGAAGTCTGCAACTAACTGCTGGAGTTATGGCACAATCATATCAGAGATCACAGGAGTATCATTATGTGATGATTGAACAATGTGGGTAGAAAATCATGCAGCTTGTACAGCAGATTATGACAGTCCTGTTTGTCATTTCCTTCTCTGACTTGGTAATGGCGATCAGAATATGAAATAAACTCAGCCTGGCTGAAAGGAACTATACTAAAACCATCCTAGAATGTGTAAATATAGGTTTACAGTAAGCACCAGCTTCCAGGGACAGTTTCATTTTTATTCATTAGTCTCAAAATTTGCTGTACTGAAAATAACTTCATTAATGAATATAACAAATTTCTTAGAGACAGTGTGTGTGCATGCATGCATGTGGGTGGGTGGGCGAGGGATATTTTAAATTGTTTTCAATATCTTACAATGTATCATTAAATGATACAGTGATTGGTGAATGAATTTGAAGAAAGAAATTTGGAAAGAAGTGGTTATGGCCTAATCAAGGCATACTCGTATTTCTGGTATTTGCCTGAAGAGAATGAGGGAAACAAAAGAAAATATCAGTCTGGAGAGCCAGTGTCTGGATGAAGATTCAAACTGAACACTTCCCAAATACAAGTCCAGAACACTGTCACCACTACACCTCTGCTTGATAAGACTAACTGTAGTATACACAAAAAGTAGTATAAAGGTCAATGTTTGAAGTTTCTTGATTCAATCTTTAGGCATTAAAAAGATTTAAAATCTGTAGTTAAAGACCAAAATTTATATTGCCTTTTGTACATGCATGTAGGCACCATCTGAAATGCAGCACTTATTTTTGCCTATCATATATCATACTACAACATGTTTTTGCCTCACTTAGCCATCATCAGGTGTATCCATGCTTGCTAAAATTGTCACACTGTCATCTTCATATGTCCCATGTGAATATGTTATTTTTAATTTAAAAATATTTCAGAAGTATGAATAATTCATAATCTGTACACACATAGAAAACACCAACTCAGCAGGGAGTCGATATCCAAACACTACCACAACAAAGGAAACACCCACATGTCACAACTGGATGCAGCAAAGCTGAAACAGCAATTTTATGAAATTCTGAAGATTTTAAATTTTTTAAAATTAAAAATAACATATTCACATGGGACATATGAAGATGACAGTGCAACAATTTTAGCAAGAGCATATACACATGATGATGGCCAAGTCAGGCTGAAACATGTTGTAATAAGTTATGTGAAAGATGAAAATAAAGTGTTGCATGTAAGACAGTGTTTACACGTGCGTTCAAAAACCATCAATATAAATTCAACAGGTTGCTAAAGTACAACACATTTTATGCCTTAAAAAATTTTGTATAGAGAAATGAATGCTAAGAATTATATTCAAAACTGGAAGTATGTAGTAAAGGTAGCTGAGAGTCTCAGAGACAAAAGTCTCTCTTTTGAATAGTTCTGTTGTTTGGGATATAACGCCATGTAGTCCGTTGTAAGTTAATTGATGTTTTGGAGGAACAGGTCATCCTCTGATATGGTAGTTGACTTTCACCAGGCTACACTGCATTCATTGCAACCCAGAAGATAGAACTCTTCGTAACCACTGCTGTGAGAATCTAAAATCCTATAAAAATGTTTTGAATAACATTAATATCTGTTATTTCCAGTGTACATATCACATTTCTAAATGCAGATTTCCAAGCAACCAATAACACTTAATATAATGTATGAATTTTTATGATAAATATTCACAACCTCTGTTTGTTGTGAGTTCATTTCATGCCTTTTTTCTTTTTTAGACTAGATTGGTATTGTACACTTTATAATGTGTGAAGAGTGCTGTCTTCAGGTATATGATGCCATGTAATGTGGTAGAATTTCACCAACGTTTCAGAAGAATGTACTTCCATCTTTAGGGTCAAAGATTAAGTAAACCAAGCAAGCAAACAGTTGCTTTGCCACTTACTTGCTCAGTTTAATCTGTGACTTTGAAAATGGAAGCAGCATGTCCTTCCAAAATATTGGTAAATGTCTAATACATTATGTAGCATCACATTCCAGAAACCACCATGATAACCTCAAATACCATGTTCTTAAGGTTGAGTAATTTGAAATACAAGTTCTTATTCACTCCTTGGAGTGATTAGGCATTAGCCTATTTCGGCCTTATTGTCTCTTCTATATCTTTCCACATCCCTTCTGCTGTATACTTCATAAGGCATCTAGGCATCTTGTGTAGAGTTCAGGTCCCATACATTCTTTGAAGATGCTCCTTCCAATCTTTTTTTCCAATGAAAAGTGCCCCACTTTTGTCTTTATATTGTCATTTATTATTCTATCTATTTGTACTGCAAATCTTCACAGATTTTCAGCATTTCATCTCAGCTACCTGTATTGTCATCCAGTCCTTAATAATATTTGCTGTCCAAAATTCACTGCCATGTAATAATGTCAGCACTGCCATAACACTGTGAACTTCAACATTGTTTCTATTCTAGTCTTGTTTCTTGGTGTTCTTGAAAAACTTTGATTTCCTGTTAACATCATAATTGTATGCAACACTGTAGATGAGGTAATTATAATTTGTCATTTTTACAATATTACATTGTTTACATCGTGGAATGAATTGGGTATTTCTCCTTGAAAACCGTGTTTCTTTCTTTATTTCGTGGCAGAGACTTTAAAATTGTAATCATTACATACATTATATAACTGAAACATAGTTTTCTGATCATCTTCATCCTCTTGTGTTATAACAAAGTCATCACCAAATGCAAAAATATTGAAAATTATATTTGTGTAAGTCCAGCATGTATTCTATTCTTTGTCTCTTGCAGAGCATCATCTAAATATATGTTAAGAAGTGCTGGAAATCTACTACAAGCCTGTACCATTCCTTGTTTAATTCATATTCCTTTGGGAGTTGACCATTGTCTAATTATATTTGTGTCTGTGTCTTTATGTATACATTTCTTAGTATGTGTATTAAATGGGCTGGATAACTGGAAGCCAGACATAATGTTGAAAATATGTGGCACTGTTAGGATTTCAATTCTGCGGCAATTTTATGTTTATGAGTTCACCGTCAGACAGGATTCAACATGAGAACCATTATTCTGAACCAGTGCTGGACATGATAATGTCTAAAATAGTTTCTTTCATAACACAGAATAAACTTTAATGAACTAATAAATAAAATACCAATAATGTGTTAAGAATATGAAAGGTATTAAATTAAGATTTTTGCATTAATATTTCTTTAGTGTTATTTTGTAAAAAAAAATGGCGTCTTTGTCTGTTAGCCCTTTCCATGCAAAGAAAATTAAATATGCTTTGATAAAGGTAACAGATACTGCACTT